AAACTTAAGTGACAGCAGTAACTTTAAAAGTCTATATCTCAATCGTTATAATTTTCTTCCTTTGTCACACTATATTTGCGAGAATATAGTAATAAAAATAACATAATGTACACATGTACTGAATAAAATAAACTTTGATTGACTAAATAACATTGTTAATTAAAATAATTAATAAATATAACATATTCTCATGGTATTCTCAATTTTTCCTTTGTACGTAGTGTGTGCAAGAGTACGTTCTCGTATACACACTAAGTTAGGCAACAAAAGATATATAATTGTAAAATCCAGGATTAAATTTCTCCTAATCTGTTTTAACTTATCAATTTGAAGGTAACGGATGCTCGAAATGCTTTATATTTCTATTTGCTATCTTTACATTATTAACAAATGCATATATGCATCATTAGTATGTATATTCAACTAATCTACAACAGATCCGTTACCTCAATAATAAAAATTAATTCATCACTCACCAACACTGACGCGCAACAGCGGAGTTATAACTGCAACGTCGCTACGATGATTCTGTAATGCACAAACAAACATAAAATTAATATTCAAATAATGTTAAAAAAGCAAAGTTTCAAAATATATTTCTTACGCGTAATGAACCTTCTAGTCAATAAAATATTTATACTCAAATAATTAAACGTCATTCGAACAAATTCACGGGAACGAACTTTAATAAAATCTCGAATTACTTCTTTCTCCTAATTATTAAGTTATGCAATATGACTCGAAAAGAAACGGCGAAAAAGATCGCGTTTGCGCAAAATGAAAGATAAGTACCGCAAGGTTGCTCCGCCGATGCATGATGCCCTTGCTCAGGCCTCCTCCTCCACTCAGGCTGTCCTCTCGTATCGCCGGCTGCGCTGGTTTCCTTCGAAGCACAACACTAGCACTAACACTCACCCGCGCACTCGGTCCTCTTCCTCCTTTCGCGAACAGTCAGCGATAAATTGTCAATCGACACGGAACGCGACGACGCACGAAAAAAACGGCCATATTCAAATCCAGATACGGCGGAGCGAGCAACCGGCCGCGAATGGCGCAACGAAACACTTCGCAATTCCATTATCTTCGTCTCGACGGCTCCGCCTCGAGTGAATCTCGCGACACATCCACTCTTCGTCCTTTTTCTCGCAATCGATCAATGTCTCTCGATCCGTAACCGACGCAGCCGCTACGCACTCGTTCCGACAAACTTGATACACTCGCGAATCGTTGCGCGCGTAACCGCGAAAGGTTAGGTATTGTATACGACTTACGTTTCTCTCTGCTCTGCCCTACGTCTACGACTGAGACAGACTTAAGCGTTTACGGATTGTTCTCTGCCATCAGCCTAACACTCACTCGCGCACTTGGTCCTCTTCCTCCTTTCGCGAACAATCGGCAATCAATTACGACTACGTTCAACGAGAGACTCATTGCAGCTTCGTCCCGCGCAAGCTACTCGCTCGAAGCAGAAATGGAAACGGAAGTAGAAGACGCGAGTTACCGTTTCACCGTACAAAATGCACGGCGGAACGACGAATATCGATTAACTGTCAATTTCACGCACGGCGTCTTCAAGATCTCTCACTTTTCACACGAGATTTGTGTCCATTATTGCACGCACTGCGCGAGGAATGATATTCGCGAGAAATCGACACGAGTTCACGGAAACCTCACAAAATGGGAGACACGGAAGTCCGCGCGAGTAATTAAAGACCAGGATTCGGATCTGTCTCGCCTCAAATCACTTATTTCTCACAAATAAACTCACTCGCCGAATACGGAAAACTCGCGAACCGCCAAATACGTACGGAAGGGATGGCTAGGGGGGGAGACGGCGGGTCGGAAAGTCCAGCGACAGCGTCCGGCGTCGGCGTCCAGCGTTTATCACATTTAGCGACGATGTCCCGCTCGTTGCCGGTTGCCGCGAGAAGAAACGGAATGTTCGGCACACATTCAGTTCGCGAATCACCGTAATCGAACTTCGTTTTACGCGCGAGAAAGAAATCCGCGCGAGCTACGGAGGCGGGCGTGAACACGTACTAACCGAAATCGCCTAGTGCGCGCTACGCGCGGTCGAGCCGCCGACCGCCGCACGACGAGCCGCGGCGCGCGATTGGACGCGCGCGCGGCGAGCCCCCCGGATCCAGCCAGTCGCGCGCGCCGGCTCACGGCCGGCGGCGGCTCGAGCCGCCGCACCGTCGCGTGCCCTTGACCGTACACCGAGTAACGTAAATAACGTTTTTATTACATTCCACTTCAGTTAACGCGTGATTCTCTATTGTTTTTTCTTCGGCGTTTCAACGTACGTACCGAGGTGAATTAGAAGTCAGTCGCCCGCGGGATCTCGAGTCGATAGGACGTGTTTCGTGCGTCGCACGGCCGGTCGAGCCGCCGAACGCCATTCTCTCCGGACAAAGCTTCCCTGCGAATCAACCAATCGTTCTAGAAGTTTGTCGGCCGGCGGCGCAACTGAGCGCGCGCTTCCAACGCATTCTCGAGACTCGGAAACGACCTACGGTTATTACTAAAGTTATTACCTTCCGCGTCGGCTGGTGCGCGATCGTCTATTGTGTCTCGTTCGGCGTTTCAACGTACGCGAGCAAATCTGAACGGATTCTCAAGACTCGGAAACAACGTTCGTTACCTTCCGTGCCGGTGATCAAGTGATGCTGTGGATTCTTTTTTTCGTTCGGCGTTCGACGTACCTGTGCGACGAAGGCTGCGGTCAAGCTGTCGCTTCGAATGTTACGAAGCATTCGTCTTCTCTTTTCTTTCAGTAAAAACAGAAAGAGAGGAGAAACGCTTCGAAGCGTTTGCAGCGGCAGCTTGACCGCAGCCATCGACACTTCATGCATGCAGCACGTACGGAACACAATCAAAATTGGGCACTGCATTACCCGGTTCGAAAATGGGTGTAGCACGGACACGCACCAAATGGTGACTTTATCGGCAGTGCTCGAAAATGGGTGTAGCGAAATAGTTCCAGAAATGAAAATGGGCGTAAGGCGCTGGAATCAGCCGAGCGAAAACGGTATCAAGTAAAACGCCGGCGTGGCCGCTCTCAGGTGTCTCTCTGGTTAATGCTATGCTCTCTCTTTCTAATGTCGACCTGTGGTCGACCTCAGTCCCCTGTCCCTCTTACGTAACGGGCAGTCTATACTCTGTTCTTTCAAGTCTATGGGCCAAGCTCGAAGAACTCAGTCACTGGATAAAAATAGGAGACTCTCAAACTTCTTTCTGATATTAGGCACATTTTAGATTATAAAAAGCAAGACTGAACGGCCGTGAAACCGAGTGGAAGAAGCTAAAGAATGAACGAGCAAAAATGAAAAATACGAAGAATTCAGCTGTGAAAGAAAATTGAGATATGAAATTTTTGTATGAGAGATCAAATCAATTTTATATTTGTATTACAAATTTACGTGAAATTTACGTTGCACCTAAATAACCTCATGCGGTAGCCTTTTAGAGAAACAATAACGTAATTTGTTATAAATGCACTTGTAATCGCAAAAGTTCTTAACGTACACAAATTCCTACACAACAAAATGTATCAAAGAGATATATCTTGAAAATGTCTAGAACGTCAGATATCTGATTGCGCGAAAATTCCTCTGATATCACTGAGATAGTTGAGTCAAGCTTCAGATATACTTTGCTGTGTGGGACAATTTCTTGTGCTCGTGTTCTGTTGCATTCTCCGCATTCAGACCAAAGCTGATGCGGAATTAAGCGTTGAAAGGAGAAAGAGAAAGAAAAAAAATTTTATAATTTTAGCTCGTTTTCATGAAGACTTGGCTGGATATAATGTCGCACGCTAGATGAAAAACACGTAGCACATAAACTTTATCTCTGACGAAAAAGAAAAATGTCCTCGCTGGATGCTCTGTGGTGCGTAAGATAAGATTTTAAAGAGTTAAAGTTGTTTACTTGCTGCGATTATAACTGATGTAGTTGCAGGTAGATTATCAGACAATACTGAATGTATAGCGGAAAAGAGCATCGAGGGAGTGACATGGCAATTCAGACGTTTGTATTCTTGGACCTGGAGACAACTGGTTTGATCCAAGGTACCGTCTTGCCGAGAGTTACAGAGATCGCTCTAATTGCCATCTCGAGAGAGTCAATTTGCAATGGCGACAAACACTCTTTGCCACGAGTCTTGCATAAGCTGGTTCTTCCGGTTAATCCACGGAAGGTCATACCTCCGAATGTGGAGGACCTGACAAGTGAGTTACTTCATTAGTCTATTAATGTGTAAACGACTGAAGATAGAAAAAAAGATCTAAATTGTACACAACTCGGCCTACGATTATTTAGTATTTCTGTAATTGTGATACTTAATATAATACTTTTATGCAGGGTTGGAAAGTAACTCGTCACTTGTAACGAAGTTACAGTTAGCTAGTTTTTTTTTGTAACTCTATCTTCATTACTTTCTCGTCATCTTTAATTGTAACTTGACTCAGTTACATTAATAGTTACTTTGTACATATTTTAAACCTCCATAGATCGCATTAGGCCTTGCATTTGCGCATAAACGCCTTTATCGGCGCTTTACAATTCAAATATACATTTGATATTTTTATTTCAAGAAAGTAACTGCAAAGTAACGACTCGTTACTGATTGAGTATTTGTAATTGCAACGCGTTACTTTTCAGAGTTGGTAACTTGTAACTGTAACTAGTTACATTTTTACTGAAAAAAAAACTAACTCTAACTGGATACTTTTATAAAGTAACTCTCAACTCTTCTTTTATGATTTTGTAGAGCTGTACAACGCGGATATGCACCTACTGCAACCTTTTGAGAATGGGATTTATGAGTTAATAATGCACTTCTTGAAACGCCTCACACCACCAATTTGCTTCGCAGCGCATAACGGCAATGGGTTTGATTATCCGATATTCCTGAGGGAACTTGAACATATTGATAAGGTTATTTATACAATAGTTAGCTCTTTCATAATCTTTCATTTTATTTGACAGTACTTGGTCCTTACAGATACTTGACAATGAAATACTATGTATTGACACGTGGAGGATGTTCCAAGATTTCTTTATTAATTGTAAGAGAGACTTGGAACCAAAAGCAGTCCAAAATTTGTTGAGCGATGAATACAATGACTCGCTGTTGGATGTGGACATGGCGGTGGCAGAGAAAGAGCCCCAAATTATCGCAACCACGTCTACTGCGCAAACAATGCTTCCCTGTGATAAATATGCCAAAGTTATAAACTATGAAACAGTAGAGGAGTATAGTAATGGTGTTGATGTCCAATCGTCGAAAAATCCCATACAAGAGGTGAATGAAAAAACACCAAAGAATCAAATAATGATGCTGGAGAATATCTCCCCGCAGCGACCGTTCAAGAAAATCTTCCCGAAGAAGAGATTGAACTTTGAACGTGAGAAACCAGTTAGTTTGAAACTCGGTGACATTTACGAACATATGTTTGGTTCGAACTTCTCGTACAATCATTCAGCTGAGGCTGATTGTCTTGCTATGATACGTTGTATCATGAACATTTCTGACTTTTTTCTTGAGTGGTCACAGAATCACGCAATTCCATTGATCTGCTGCAAAAAAACATGATACAACACTATTAAATGACGACAAAATTAATGAAAAGCTCCTAAAATAATATATACAATTATCGGGAATGCAAAGTTAATGTCTATAAAATTTCAGATAATATCAAATGTGTATTCCTCTGCCCACATTGAATTAAAAATAAGTAATTATCATAATTTGATGGCTAATGTAGAACGAGGAATTATATGCTTTAAGTGCATGTGTAAACATAAATAATTCATTAAACAGAAGAAACCTTAAATCATCTTTCATCTTAGGAACTTTAAATTGATATTTTCAGCTAATTTATGGCTATAATTTTGTAACATCACCATTTCCTAAAACTATGAATTTAAAAGAATTCATGGAAATTGTTAGTTGTTGTAATTGACTTAAGACTTACGAGTATAAAATATGACTGATTGATGATTGTAGAAAGACAAAAGATTGTAATTTCGGATATTTGCTTGAATGATAAGCTTATGATGACGAAAAATCTAATGATGGATTTCTTTCGTAATGTGTTTTTCTAATTTATACGTTAATTAATTTTAAAATGTGATATTTTTATATAATACAAAAAATCTATCATCTGATTTTTATGTGAGTTGCATTGTAAAAATGCAATATCAATTCCATTCATAAATAACAACGTCTTCTCTATAACAGCGCGATCTAATTCCGAGCGCGCTTTGTTGCCTAATTACTCTCTACAATTGTGTATGTTGCTTATTTACAGCATATATACAAATTTTAATACCCTTCACTGTGTGCAACATTTGTAAAGTAAAAAAATGAGAATAATCTTTTTACTCATAGATTGGTAAACAGATTTAAATATAACGAATGTAAAACGATAAATAATACATTTAAATCTGAAAATGTACAATATCAAACTTTGGCATAAAGCTTCGCACTTTTAGTTCAATATTTGAAATAGAATATTAATCTTCAATAAGTGATAATATTGCAATACATATATATTTTCCTCTTTCTCAAATATTTTTGTAGAAAATATTTTGATTTTTATAGAAAATATAGAAAATGAAATTTTTTAAATATTTTTATAGAAAATATTTGAGAGAAAACAAGAGGATACTAATGTTTTGTAGAAATATAGTTGTTATAAAAAATGTAAAAAAAACACTGTTAAGTTTTAATAGCCCATGTTTACTACTAAAATTTTATGTGACTTTTACTTATTGTTGGGTACATGTATCTTGTATGAAAAATACGAGAATACTAATTAAGGATACTTCAATGAATGATTAGTCACCATCACTCTTTCTAATAGCTAATAAAAGTTGTCTTGCAAAGTACCTCTTCAAAGGAGTTTTAATTAATAACAACAAAAACAATCTTTTTTAGCATTATTAACTTTGGATATTTAATGTGATTTCTTTTTGTAATAGATATGCATTTATCTTTTTGTAAATTTAATGGAGAGATGACAAGATAACAAAAATGTTTTTATATTATATGTATAACTGTGCAACAAATTAATCATTTTATCGAGATAATGCATTTCTGTGTACATGTGTGTATGTATTGTATGTGTATACTTTACTATATTCATAGAAATGCGAATAAAAATGTTCAATTTTAAATCATTGTTATATCGTTATATTTAAATAAATTATAAGGAGGGATTTCTTATATATAAGGGAAAATTCTGGTCTCAAGTCCTGACAGATAGTGTAAATTTAAGATTTTATGTGAAAGCTATAACTGTAATTGAATTAAACTTTTAGGGACATTTTGATAGACATCTAATAAAGAAGTACAAATTTTTATAATAGGTTCTATATAGATTTGGCCGAGTTCTGCGTCGTATCGCACAGGGTGTCGCGTGCGATCACGATTTAACGTTAACATTCATGCGCTTGTTCGAGTGATCTGAAATATAAATATGAGATATCTTTTTACTTATTATTAATGTCTTTTTAGAAGGAACATCGATCCAGATAAAAAATTATTTTCTAAAGAAAAACTTGTTTGAAAGAAGTTACATTTTTAAATGTTGTATTTTTTACACTTTTTTGCAAAAAAAGTTTATTATTAACTTTTTATAGAGATATAATTGCTATTTTGAATTACCTATAAGCTAAAACCAATCCAATTGTAAGTTTTTGAGTTCTTAAAAGGATATCAAAGGATATGAATAACGCGGTTTCGAGAAAAATATGTTTAAAGTTTCGAGTATTGTTTTCTTATACTTACAATATTTCTAGCTAATCTGTTATTTTTAAACTGATAGAATGCCTTCCACTTCTTCATAAAAGGCATATTTTTCTATGTTGCTTTGGCCATACAAGATTCTTAAGTCTTATAGCTTCAGCGCTCTTAAGTTTTGTACGCCCGAGTCACTATTTGTTCACATAATCAGCAAATTATTTACAATGCTGGCGAATAACTGTTCCCAGTGTTTGTTATTAAAATAGCGATGTCCTCGTTAAAAATTACTGCAGCTAATTGTATGTACAAGATTTAATGACTTCCGAGCCACTATACACTTGTTTCGGCGTGAGAAGTCATCAGATTGCATTAAAACTTTCATTATTGTTTTATTGGCTATGTTCGCCTAAACATTGTGTATGTAGAAAATCATGTTTTTCTTTTATTTGGATACCTATGTGTCCTCTAAACACTCGTACGCATTTCGATTTTTGCCTGGAGTTTATCGGACGGCTGCTAAACGGCTTATAACTTCGTTAATACTTCGGTTTTCGAAATACTATAAGAACATCTTTTTGAGATGTACAACAAAAATATGCAAAATCAATTTTTTAAAATTGTTTTAACTCTAAACCAGAATTTCCCTTAAACGTGACGAATATAAGGTTATTTGTTATCGGTAATCCCTTACGATGCGTTGTTTCTGTGAAAACAAAGTTTTACGTGAAGATTTAGTGTATGTACATTTTCGTCTTTTTTCGATAAAATTATCTTTTCAGTTGTACACCACTAATAATAGGCGATTTTTGACGATTGTTTGGTGCATGTATACCGGGGTGCTGGTATCTTATAAGTAGCTTCCGTAAGTTTAACAGTAACTTAATGATAAACTCTTTTCTTAAAAGAATTTATTTAGAATGAAGTTTATATGTAATACACACACACACACTTACGTGCGGGTTCCGGTGTGTCCGGTTCGAATTCCGGTTGTGCCGACATGTTCTCATGTTGCATGTAAATTATCAAACTCTTCAATTCATCAGTATTCACTAGAACCAAAAATTTATAGGAAATATTGGGATATTGAGTTTTATATGTTTATAAATGCATAGTAAAAGTGACTAAATTTATGGTTACATATAAAACATTAATTTACACTTATTTAAAGCATGAAAAAAATACTCACAAACCCATTCCGCTATTGCATACGGATCGTCTTTGATAGTCTTCCTGATGTTTTTTAAAACTCTTTCTATTCTACCCTCCATATTCTTCATTTTGTCATGTCCAATATTTTCCAACAAATTGAGATCATCGTCCCAATAGTATTTTATGCAATGATTGTGAAAAGCATCGCGAAGCTTTTCCAACATCTACATAATAAATATTGTTACTATTTTATTATTATTGCTTCGGTATAAAAAATATTTAGAATTTTAATAATATATTACCTTGAAGAATAAGAAGGTATGTGATTTTTTCTGAGAAATATGGAACATTTCAAATTCATGGTAGCATAATGTCTCAAGATAATAGCTCGCAACCTTTGTCCAACCTTGTGTATCTCTAAGTTTCTAACAGAGAGAATATGTACATAATTTCATAAAGTAAATTATATAATTTATTTGTTAGTATAAAAATAAAACAAAAAATTATACTGAGATAAATAAAAAAGTTTCACGCATTAATTTATTAAGGAAAGTAAAAGTATAAAAATATATAATTAATTTCAGAGGATACTTACAATATTGAGTATCAAAATTAATTAAGAATTTATTCGTAGAGTTATAAATAAATTGTTTGTTACATTATAACATTTTCTTACTCCATGATGTATTATACCTTTAATTGACGTATTACAGGCTTCACACGTCCATAATCATGGTTAGAAAGCAAGTCTTTTTCAAATTCATAAAAACATAATCGCCAATAACGATGGAAATTACCGTAACCTGGTCTACTGTCGTTGTTCAAGGGTTTAGGAACTGCGGACCAATATCTATATGATCGAGACTACAAAACGATTAGTAAAAAAAGAGATTAGTAGAAGCATGCTATTTAACTATTGAACTGCTGTAAACAATTTGTTACTTTTTCCTCTATTAAATTTTATTGTAAACAAAATTAAAGTACGAAGTTTAAATATTTTGACGAAAAAGATGCAAGAAAAACTAGATGAAATAAATAATCAAAGTATATCTAACAATAAGACAATCTATATGCATCTAATGTCTACATTTTGAAGAAAGATTACTTTTCGCTAACGTCGTAAACGATGTCGTGAATTACGAAAACGGCTTCTGCGCTTTTTTACCTTTAAAGGAAGTGCAGACCATCATTCACCAAACTGTGAAACGCGAAACAAATAATACAGACACGCTATGTATTTAATTTATTTCCTATGGAATTGCTACAATTTGCCGTTTTTCTCTATTAAATTCATATTAAATAAAAAGTACCAAATATTAAGTTCAAACATTTTTACAAAAAGAGAAAAACCAGGTAAAAAAAATTAATTAAATAAAAAACGTATCTAACAATAAGCAAATAACCTAACTATACTTTGAGATTTCTGGTTCTCGCTGCAGTTGTCCTTGTTTAATAACGTCAGAAGCGACAAATGACACGCTGAGAATTCTTACGTTCCATTTTCAAATATATTTGAATGAAAAAACATTTCAGATCGCTTTAGCACACTTATAAAATTGTCCGAAAACTATTCTTTTCCTTCGATAGTTAATAAACAGCCGTAAAATGAATGTGACATCGATGTCACATTTAGTTGGCGTTTTTATCCAAATATTTTTTCTCAGATTCGAAAAATAGTACGCAAGTGTGACATTCGGAAACATCATTGCAAAATTTATTGCGGTAAATATTAGCACATGCCTCAATGGTCGAATTGGTGGGATGTCCGCGTAGAGTGTAGGGAGGTACAGGTTCAAACTCAGGTTGGAATACTTAATATTTTTAGCAATAAAATTTCTGCCAGTTATGGCCGAATAATATTACTTGTTCTGTTATTTAATCACTGGCAAAAGGAAATGTCACTCACAAATATTTTTTTATTTTAAAATGGCACGCAAGAATTGTCCTCAGCGGGTCATTTTTCATTTCTGACATTAAACAAGGACAACTACAGCAGGAGCCAGGAGTCTTAAATGACTATATTTTAATAGATACTAAAAGAAGTTCTATTTTTCCAACCATTTTTTCAACTTTTTTTTATATTACGTTTAATAACTAAATAACTAATAAAACATACATACATATATAAACGACAAATCTTTTACTTCAATTTAATATTTTGATTTTATTACGTACTTGTAAAATATCCATTTTCGAACATTTCGGTGGCAAAGTACGAGTCGAATAAGCTAAAACGGGAACCACATCAATGTCGACATCAGTTATATTACCTCCGTAATTTAATTTTAGTGTAAACGCTGGTCCCGACTTTCTTATCCCTGTCTAAACACAGATAAGATATGTAATATTAGTTCAGCTTTATTAATTAGCTTAGCTTCTCCTTTTAATATATTCTATAATATTGGTAACATACCGAGAGAGAGAGACAATTTTCAATAACTATGTTGAGAGTAATTTTGCTCGTATATTCCCGATAAAAATTTTTTATGCGTTAACATGCACAAATATATGTATAAATTATACATTAAATATGTTTATAATATCCATATTTTTACATTGTATATTTCTATATAATTTTATACAATTTTATACAATTCTATATATTATATAATGTATAGATTTATACTTGCTTTTAAAAAATGTTTTAAAAGAAAAACAAATTGCGTATTTATAATTATATATAACTTTGTATAATTGGACACAATTATATATAATTATAAATAAGCAGTTTTAACATTAAAATTTTTTTAATATAAAAGCATGTATAAAAATCTATAAAAGTATACAGAACTGTGTAGAATTGTATAAAATTATATAGAAATATACAATGTAAAAATATGTAGGGGCATATTTGATGTATTTTTATATAATTCTATAGATTTGTTTACGTTCATGCATAAAAAGTTTTTACCGGGTTATAATTTAGCTTTGAATCAACAAAAATGAAATCAAATCTGCTGTGAGTGTACGCTCATACGGTATTAAAATGTTGGCTTACAATTAGTATAAATGCAATTAATACTAATCTGCAATTCTGATTAATTCTGTTGCCAAACTATAATGTTAACATTTCACTTACTGGTTTAAAATCAGGAAATTTAATTGTACTATGTCCACTAGTAGTGTGGGCCACTTTAGTCAAAATTCCTTCCATCCAAGTACGAAATTTTTCTTGGTTTAGATACGATTCATCATCGATGAAGGAATTCAATTCTCTAAACAGAAAATAGACTTTTCTTATTTTGTAAATTATAATATTGGGGACTTCGCAAGAAAAGGTCCTTACTCGGAAATTGAAAAAATTATTAAATTTTGACAATACATAGAGAACGCCCTGGTTTTTTAAATAATTTGATTTTTCCTTGACATAATCATTTTTATATCAAACGTAAGTTAATAAATTATACTATATTAGTGATTAAAATTAATTAGTTTGTGATTGCAATGTAATAATAAAGATTTCAATATTCTTATTACGCGGTACGTTAGCTTTTAATAAAAATGGATAATTTAATGGTCTAGTTTACATCGTGCACTTGATACGCGTAACAAGTAGTGTATTTGAGCTGATCAGCCAATGATTAAACTGATTTACTAGTTATTTACTATTTGATACGTGTACCAAGTGAACGATGTAAACTAGGCCTATTATGGCTAGCCATCGAGTTCAATAACAAAAGATAATCAGATCCTATATTTGGCACACATACATCCATCACTTATATAACTATTCGTTAAGTAATGATTTTATTAGTTTTTCACATGTAAAGACTAGGCTAAGTATTGCCAAAGTTTTATAATATTTTGAATTTTTGAGTTAAAAATCTTCCCTTGTGTAAATATATTTCTATAATACAATATTTACTTAGATGCTTTCGGATCTAAATTTAAAACATTCTGATGATTTATATCTCTCCAAACTGTGCGTATTTTAATAAAACCTGGTTTAAAATGATCTGTCGTAAACTGGAACATAATCAATCAGTATTAATTATAATATTAAAGTTTTATTTGCGTTGATCTTATCGTAGGAAATTGTATTAATTACTGAATTGTTAAGAAAATGTTATTAATAGAAAAGAAAATATAATTTATATTAATAATAAATAACAATGACTCAGTGATATAAATTACATATAAAAAGGCTATAAGAGTCAAATAACAAAGGAGAACAAATAATATTGAATCAGCATATATTTAACTTCAAATAGTTAAGCGATTCTAGAATAGTGAAAATCAAACGAACGGACGTTTTGAACCATTTCTTCGGTTCTTCTTCAGCGCATTTTCTTAAACTTGAATAATCTTCAGTAATTTAATATATATACATATATTAATTTTAAAAATAAAATCTACCTCTATATCTTTTTCTTTAAAGGGCAGGTTGATTACAAAATTAACATCGTATTCTTCCGGTTGTCCAAAACGAGTGCCTTTATAATAACTTCCAACCCAAATAATTCTTTGAAATGTTTTAGCAAACAGAGGACTATGCTCTTTCATAGCGTTTGTTAACTTGTCAAAAAACTGCGGCATATATTACAACATACATATCAACATAAAATTAATAGAATATTATTTAAATTTTAAATAATACAAAGAATTTTATACAGTACCACTTTCAAGTGCGGATTTTGTTGCCTTATGTCATTCGAATCCAGTCTTATAAATCTGGCGTTTATTTGATTAAATATAGTATCATCGACTAGGTACCTATCAATATCTGTGGCTTGCGTCATTGCGCGTATATAAGTTACTGGATTTTAAAATCTGAAATTACTGTAAAATTATATTTACGTTATATATTGTACAAATATTATTGAAGTATCCTACAAAGAAATAAAATAAAATTGTATAATTCTTACATATATATAGAAAAAGATATGGAGTTTTTGTCAGTTACAAGGTAAAAAATGTATTCACATATTTAACGTAAAGATAATATAAGGATATTGAAGGATGTGATAGGAATGAGGAAAGATAAATAAAAAGATTCCTATATAGACAGTACGTGTATGTCTAAAAGATATTTAAAGACGTCTTTGTGTTGGCGACGGAAGGATTATTTGGGAGGGGAGAAGGGTTTCAGACCCTTATGGTATATATCACCTTTTTGAACAAGTACCTAGATAATAGTAGATTGAGTTTCAAAGTTCCTATAATTTGTAAGAATAAAATTTTTAATGGAGTCAATTAAATTAAACTTTAATATAAGTATGTGTACCTTATTACACATGTCTTGTATAACAGGAGATATTACAAATATAATTTTTGTAGTAAAGCAGGCAGCTATATAATAGTTTATTTAAATACAATTTTTTTTACTGTATCTAGCAATTTTGATGTTTAAGCATCGCTACGTTTCGACTATGGGTTTTGGTCCATTTCAAGCGATCTGACTATACAAATTGAAGATTTACAATTTATTATTACAAATTATTACATAAATAAAATATATAACCAAGTCCGAGATATTAAGTTACAAAAGTTAGAATTGTTAGAGGTATTACCTGAGGAAGTCATGTACATAGACTCGCGTGTATTTTGGTGATGTAGAAAGGATTGTTGTTATATTCACATACTAAAAATGAGAGTGTTAGAGAGAGAAAGATGCAGAAATTTCCGTTGAGATTCGTAATATATGGACTTACATGCTATAAAAATTTCGTGTCGGAGTTTGCTACCGGAGAACATTATTAGAGAGATGACGGAGCATGATTGACTAAAATATTAGGTCGAGAAATTAAAAACAAATAAAAGACAGCTCAATAGTTTTACACAATGTGTGAATTTTTATACCGTTTCCAACGTGAAAAAAACAAGACTCATTATGTTGAAGGTACTTATTAAATTTTAGGAAGACTATAAGATATTATAGATATTATAGATATTATATTTTTAGGGACTAAGCAACTCTGACCTCCCTCTTCTGTCATCAATGTCTTTATGACGTCTAGACGTCATGAATCAATAAGCAGGGGAGAGTGGTAATTTCTTATTGTGGTTGTGGAAAAAAGAACAGAGAAGGAACAGGAAGGAGAGAAGAAAGAACAGGAAGATGAAAGAATGGAGGAGAAACTGAGTCGAAGAAAAAAGCAAACTATATTGTAGGAAACAGTATGGAAAAGAGAAGAGAAAATAAGGAATTGTAATGTATGTGCAAATGTAATGTATTTTTAAAATATCCCATACAGCACGACACCACATATCTTTTATTGTATACGTGATATTTGATTGCGTCATATTTTACACATTAATTTTGTACAATTAGTTTTAATTTTTAATTTTTATTTGTAATTTTATTCGTATCGATGATAAGTGTGTAACTCCGATTATTGGTGTGTTCCTTTTTAGAATTTGTGCTTGATAAGGACCCAAACCCGTGGTCGAAACGTAGCACGTTATATTTTTAATTTCTAATTTATTAAACAAGTACCAGCTAAGGTCGACTAAACTGATCCATTGATAAAATATTTATATTGTATCGCATGAAATTAGTGGGGCCTTTGTGTAGAGTTTTCCGTAAAGACCTGTGTCCACGATCAGCTTCAGATTCATAGGCCGATATTTATAGTCAAATCTTATATTCAAGACCGTCTTAGGGTCATCTTTAGATGTTCCATAACCAATGAAATGTTCCATACAGCATCTTTAGATGAATTCAAGACGGTCCTGAATATAAGATCTGACTATGAATACCGGTCATAGATATCGTTAAGGAGAAACCAATCAGCAAATTAACTATAGATGAATGTGCAGTTTTATTGCCACGTTCACATTCGATATAATTATTAATTGATGAAACTTTTTTGCAACATTGTTATAAATAGCGTCACTTATTTGCAATAAAACGCGATCTATTTAAAGAAATGCTGCCGGAAATCTGACGTAAGTAATATGATATTTATAATATTCGCTGATATGAATTAAATGACTTTCGCTGATTAGGTGACGTTCTTTACACCCACTTCCTTCGGCTAGCAGTTTTTTTTTATATATCATATCGCTCTACTGTGCAGTATTTATTGTAAAAAAAAAAAGAAAAAAGGGCGAACAAATTTTTTATAAATCTTTATAACAGAGATAATTCCTTATAGCGTTATTAAGTTTAATAACTTTTTAAATGTACATTACTTAATTAACATTATAAACACTTAACTAACGTTACTTAATACTTTTAATCAATTCAGTTCAATTTTTTAGATAAAATCTGCTTAACATTTGTGACAAACATCGACGCTTGCGATTAAATGTCGTATTAAATTAAACAAATGTGTAATGGTAAATTGTGAAACAATATAGCAACTCAAATAGTAATATTATAAATTTACATTTCTTCCCGCAATGTTTAACACTTATTAATATTTTTTTATTTATATTTGTGGCTGTTCCGTCATGTATTATACATACTCTTGTACTCGCGTACAGTACCGGCCAAACGTATTATATATCACCTTTAGGTTTTCTGAGCATAACTTTCATCGAAGTGCACCGAATGTGCTCGAAATTTTACAGTAGACACCTGATAACAGGTACATCTTGTATGTACACGAAGGGTAATGAAATTTGACAAAGTACATCATAATTTTTAAATTTTTTATTCGAGCACTTTAAAATTAGTTATGCTCAAAAAAATTGAAAGGTATACAATTGTCTGTACGGTACACCGATAACCACGTAACTGCAATCATTCATTCGGTGTTGGATAAAAAATATGTCACGTTACAATTGCAAACGTCGAATTGTTTTTTTTTCTAACATTCCAATTTCATAAAGAACAAGACATTTGTGTCACGTACGCGAGATATAAACATGGCAATAAAATCCCGGTAAAAAAAATTTTGTGCATGACCATACATAAATACGAGTATATAGTACTATATAAACTTATACATGAAAAATATGTCCATACATATTTTTATATTGTATATTTTTATATAATTCTACACACATCTGTATAATTTTACAGATTTATACTTGCTTTTATATGAACAATTGAGTTTTTAATTAAATTAGAATTAGGAATTAATTGAAAAAAAAGATACATGTAAGAAATGTAACTGCGCTTGTGTAAAGTTATTAATTCCTATTCTGAGTGATTCCACTTACTCTGTGATGAATTTAATGATTTATTTTACACAATCGCAATTTTTGCTATGAATCGTTGCCATTTTTTGAAAAAACAAACAGAAATAGGAGAGTAAATATTTCATATTTCATATTTTAACATTATAATATCAAAATTAACTACAAAGTTAATTTTCTAATTTATTCTTTTTCGTTCAGTTTTTTATCATTCTATAATTATATGGACAGATCACAAATATTTACATTTAAAAGATTATACAAATCTGTTTAAGAAAGTACACAACAAATCATTTCATAGGTGAATCGATTCATTTACGGTCGTAATAAGTTAAATTACCAATAACACATTAAATTCTATATCTCGCATCTTGACAAATCTATCCCAACTATTTATCGTATTTGTACTCACCAAATATAAGTTGTGTGTAAAGACAAGAAGCTGCAAATATGGTGCAGCGATATTGCTGCACGCAACGATATTCGAAAGAACAATCCGTTCTCAATAATTCAATCTATGTTAAAGTTACCCACACGTCCTTTATTAATAACTTTGCTCTAGAAATTGCTTTCTGCAAAACTGTGAAACGAATAAGACTATATAGCGGACTGCGTACTACTGTGAGTGAGTTACCCAGACTTTCCTTTATATAGGTATACGAGCATCGCGGTATACGTTTGCGCATTGCGTTCGCGCAACTGAATGTGCAGCTTATTGTTAGAGGTCAACCGACCTCAATGAGTGTTAGCTACTTTTTAATTTTAATTAAGAAGCTAGATACATTTTAAGATATGTAAGTAAAAAAATTGTCAAGAATTTTTTCCACATAATTTCGTATAATTATTTTTTTAAATTGTAAAATGCCTTTGAAAATGTGAAATTCTAAGGGCATTTACAAAACAATTTGTTTTAATTTGTCGTTGTCTCTAGGTTAGGCTAATGAACGAAACAAGTTTTTTTTAAATGACACAATTTTTTTTACCATAAAAACTGATAAATTTTTTTCGAAAATTGCAGTTAAAGGTTCAAAACAATTCCTATATTCTTTCTAAATAAAAAATTGTAATTATGATAAGGATTAATTTTATTTTTTTACTTTTGTCTTTGTTTTTAAATAAAATTCAAAGTCTTTTTGGATTTCACTTGAAAAGAAAGACAAGTCGCTTCGCGGACACCGTCCGAAGAACCTGTCTCGTTCATTAGGCTATAACGTAGAAACGACAAATTTAAAAAATCATTTTATAAATGTTTCTAAAATTGCGCACTTTTAAAGACATTTTACAATTTTTTATTTTAAAAATCATATGGAAAGAGATTCTTGAAATTCCCTTGCTTCTAAGTGTATGTAGTTCCTTAAGACGTCTTTAAAATTTCACATGCGTGCCGAGAAGATTCAATTAAATTTTCAATTTAAAAAGAGATTTAAATAAAAGTCGAATGAAATAAAAAATTTTTTGTTGTATAGAAATTTCATGTTTTGAACTATATTATTTTCTTCTTGTTGTAAGAAACAGATAAAAGTTTATCTATAATAACAGAATAGATTGCACTTCTTTGTTTAACAAATCATACAATCTGACGATTATGTTGCGTATGATAAAGAGGAACGATGTATCTTGCGCGACAAGTATACACGTAACGATATGCGCAACGAGATAGCCTGGGTAACAAGAGGAAGTGTTTCGCGCGACAAGTATACGCGCAGCAATATGCATAGCGAGACAGACCGGGCATTTTTTACGCCAGACGATATTTCAAAAGATGTTTGACTATCGCAATCTCAATAACGGTTGATCTGATCAGCTTCTAAATAGGTTCATATAGCTTGGGTCCCCAACGAGAAATGACTCGTCGATCGATGTCGATCGACGTCAATTTGACTGTCGATGTGATTTGACATTGCTTCGACGAATTCTTTCTCACTGGGTTCGACTTACATAAGGAAAGAGTTTTTATTTTTTCGCTTACGTGGCCTACGGGCAGATATATTGTGATGCTAAGTTCTAAATGTGGCAAATTTGCGATAAGATACTCTGTTTTCTCCTCCGTTGTCATTATTGTCCATCCAACATCCAAAGTGTAGGCAAGGGGAATTGCGGAGCTAGATACGTGATGCCCACTACTACAAGCATAGCATATCGGTGTGAGATAACTCACACTAATTGTAAGATAACGGGCACATCCCAGTAAGAAATGATTCGACATCGATCTACATTCGACATCGTCTAATTGACGTCGATTCGACATCGATTAATTCGAGTCATTTTTCGCTGGGGTAGGCATGTGTGCACACGAAATTTCGAATTTTCGACCGGCTGCAGTAGTAATAGATTAGAATTAAGTTTAGGTTAAATATTGCAATGGTTTAGCAGCGCCAAATTTTGTAATAAACAATAATATTGTGAACCAGAACTAACATGTAGCTAACAATTAGAGAAGGCCATTTTTTACTGAAATATTTATTTATTTGCAATTACATTTTTATTGAATACAATATTTATATCCATAAAACTTTTGTCTTATTATTATTATTTTCTTTATGTCGTCCAATGAAATCTTTTGTTTAATTTTTTTTATATAACATTGTACTTAATATCGAAAAGTAATAAGAAACTAGTTTATATAAATATCCACTATTATACTTGGTGCAATTTGTTAATATCATTATTTTTATAGATAAAAGTTGTTTTATACAATAATTCTTTTTTGAACGCGTATATTTGGCGCCTTTTTTGTACCTTTTTTTAAAAGGTAATTTTGTTGTGAGCGATTCTACGTTGTTCTACCAAGATGGTACAAACTTTAATCAGGTGTTTGACATGATCGGTACGCAGTTGCCAAGAATCGAGTTTTAAATAAACAATGGTCATAGCTCCGAACGTGAAGGATCTAACAAGTGAGTTATTCATTAATCTGCAATTAATGTGTAAACGACTAGAGATGGAAAAAAGAATTCAAATTGTAAATGCCTTGGTCTACAATTATTTACCCTTATTAATATTTATGTAATTACGATACTTAATATGATAATAATTTTATGATTTTGTATACAAATATATAACAATGATGATAACACGCAACTACTAAATACAGCTTTTCGAGAATAAACTTTACAAGTTAATGATACACCTCTTGCAACGTTTTATGCCACCAATTTGCTTCGCAGCACATAACGGCAATAGGTTTGATTATCCGATATTCTTGAGGAAATTTAAATGTATGAATAGGTAATTAAGTTATATAGTAGTTAGCTTTTCCACAATCTTTTATTTCACTTAATTGATAATAATTGTTTTCCATTAAAGACACTTAACTTAACAGCGAAATTCTTTGTATTAACACGTGATCCAAGTTAACCGGTGTTCCAAGATTTTTTCAAGAAGAAGGACTTGAAACCAAAGGTAGTCCAACATTTGTTGGACGCTGAATACAATGACTCACTGTTGGATGTGGACATAGTGGTGATAGAGAAAGAGCTAAAATTATCCTTCCCTGATAAATATGCCAAAGTTATAAACAATAAAACAGTAGAGGATTATAGCAATTATGTTGATGTTCAAACGTCGAAGAATCTCATACAATAGGTGAATGAAAAAAACAATGAAGAATCCACAATAATGAAGCTGGAGAATATCTCCCCGTAGCGACCGTTCAAGAAAAGCTACCCGAAGAAGAGAACTATGGACTAAATTTTGAATATGATGTTAGCAAATTATTTATAGCAATGTGATTTCCTATGTATGTATATGCTCGAAGTTTAGAATAAAATGTAACGGGCAGAATATCACCCGTCATCGTTTGTCAAGCGTCGAGGACGATAGTTACTTTCAGAGGTGTCCTCCAGAAAGTTTAAAACCGTAAACACTTGTATCGTCAACAGCGGGGATCGGCTGTTATGCGTGAGGCTGCCGATTGGTCCGACGGCACTTCCTCGAGAGGAAATAAAGAGCACTGGCTCTAGGCAGGCAGAACAGTCAGTCGAGATCGAAAAGAGAGGTACCAGCTGAGGAACGATTAGCGACGAGGCGACCCGCGAGAAATCATTACGCTTGTACTATTGGACGATCTCTGTGAGCAATAAAGAAGACCTAAATTTATAATAGTTAAAAGAACATCTCTCGTAATAACAGACAACAAGATCCTTTGCCTAATCCAAATTCTCTCCAACGGCTGAGTTTGATAGTCAGGAGCCAACAATGAGAAACCAATTAGCTTGAAACTCTGTGCTATATATAAACGTATATTTGGTTCATCTTCTTGTATAATCATTCAACTAAGGCAGATTGTCTTGCTATGATATGCTGCGTCATCAACGTTGCTGATTTTTTTTACTGGTCACTGAATCATGCACTTCGATGCATTTGCTGCAAGAAAACGTAATGCGATACTATATTAATTGACGACAAAAATAATATGCAAAAATACTGAAACAATACAATTAGTAATACAACTATCGTGAAAGTTAGTATTTATGAAATTTTAGATAATGTTATAAATTAAAGTAATATTATTAAGTACGTACTCCTCTACCTACATTGAATTAAATGCGAGAAATTATTGTCATAATTTGACATGGCTAATATGGAATGAGGGGAGTCAAGAGTCTTAATCATATATAAACGTAAATTATTCATTAAGCTAAAAACTTTCTTCTTAAAAAAGATATTTTTAGAATTTACAAATTTTTAGCTATAACTGCTAATAACATTAAATAATTATTTTGTATACATACATATATGTATAAAAAGCAGGTAATTAACTTCTAATTAATTTCCGTAAGTTTAATAGTAATTTAATGATACTTTCTTCTTAAAAAAGTTTGTTTAGAATAAAATCTATATGTAATATTTACATTCAGATTCCGATTCGAGTTCCGGTTCGGGGACCTCAGGCCAGAACATATTACTGATTATAGTTGCTGCATCATATATTACCAAAATATTCAATTCGGTACTATTCACTACAACCAAAAATGTATGGGAAATAAGAAACAATGGCCCGTATGATTAGAACATCAAGCACTAAAACGGAGTCTTAAATGAGTGTTCATAAATGGCTCTGAGCCATTTTTTTTATGCTTAATTTTACAAGAAATTTACAATATTATATTTTATATTTTAATAAATAAATAGTAAAAGTGACCAATTTTATGGTTGACTATGCATATATAATATTAATTTATATTTATTTGAAACAGGAAAAAAGTACTCACAAGTATATTTAGCCATCGCATACCGATCGGTTTGAATAGTCCTCCCGATGTTTTCTAAAATGTTTTGTATTCTACCTTCCATATTCTGCATTTCGTGATATCCAATTTTCTCCAACAAGTTTAAGTCGTCGTCCCAGTAATGTCTTATACGATGATCGCGAAAAGCATCGCGAAGCTTTTCCAACATCTATATAATAAATATTGTTACTATTTTATTATTATTGCTTCAGTATAAAAACTATTTAGAATTTTTATAATATATTACCTTGTAGAATAAGAAAGTATATGATAAATTGTGAGAAATACGGAACAATTCACGTTCATGGTAGCATAATGTCTCAAGATAATAGCTTGCAATGCTTGTCCAATTTCGTGTATCTCTAAATTTCTAATAAAGAGAATATAAATATGTATATACACTCAGTCCAAAAAAAAGCGGTACACCTAAAATTTGTCAAAAAATCACCAAATTTTGAATGACGGTAACTACGCGAGTAATAATGATAGAAAGGTTTTTCAAAAAAAGAAATTGAAGCTTGAAATTTCTACTTTAAGAATCGACATAACAGAGTTTTGCGAGATAATTTTTTCAAAATGGCGGATGACAAAACGAGAGCATGCGAAATTGAAAAATTTTCGTTCGAGTTTGCGACGATCCATGGCGAGAGGCAAGTGTTGCAACTTAATGGGATAAAAAGCATGCGATAGTACAGAGTCTCCCCTTCAAAATGTTTTTTTACTCGTTTCGATACGATGTTGTTTCGCTGAGATATGCGCATTTAAAGTAAAAACCGGCTTTTTTATTCAAATGCACATATCTCAGTGAAAAATCATGGTATCGAAACGAGTAAAAAAGGCATTTTGAAGGGGAGACTCTGTACTATCACATGCTTTTTATCCCATTAAATTGTGACACATGCCTCTCGCCATGGATCGTCGCAAATTCGGACCAATATTTTTCAATTTCGCATGCTCTCGTTTTGTCATCCACCATTATAAAAAAATTATCTCGCAAAACTCTTATGTATCGATTCTTAAAGTAGAGATTTCAAGCTTCAATTTCTTTTTTTGAAAAACCTTTCTATCATTATTACTCATGTAGTTATCGTCATTAAAAATTTGGTGATTTTTTGACAAATTTTAGGTGTACCGCTTTTTTGGACTGAGTGTATATGTATACATGAATACACACACACACACACACACACACACACACACACACACACTCGCGCGCGTGCGCATATATATAATATGTATATATGTATATATGTGTGTTTAATTTATTATTAAAATAAAATAACAATAACACTTTAAATAAATAAAGTTTTTACATTAATTCATTAAGAAAAGTAAAAAGAGAAAATTATTTCCAGAGGATACTTATTAAATATAAAAAAATAATCTGAACATTTAATGTTACAAATAAATTGATGTTTGTTATTCCATAACGTATCATACCTTTAAGTGACGTATTACAGGTTTCATACGCCCATACTCATGGGTAGAAAAAATGTCTTTCTCAAATTCGTAAAAACTCAGTCGCCAATAACGATATTGGAAATCGTAGGAGCCATGTTCACTGTCGTTGAAAGGTTTGGGAATCGCAAACCATTTTCTATCTGGACAAGACTATAAAACCGGAAACAATTAGTAGAAGCATGATATTTAACTACTGAATTGTTGTAAGCAATTTTGAAGTAAACACTAACGATTATATAATATCAATATTATAATTTTTAATTTTCTACTCAATGATGTAACTGTTATGTATGTATGTATGTACATATATCTGTTACGTTATATTTATTTTGTCGAGTGAGAAATTATAATAAGGTACCTGTGTCAAATAAAGCTAATAAGGCCCGTTTTTTGAAAAATCATAATTACAATCAGTATATTGGTTTGGCTTTTTACACAAACACACACAAAAAAATGATAACTTAGGAGCACAATACTGTCCAGCGACACCATTTTGTCAGTTTGGCCAAGACCTTTGTGAAAAGTGGTTGCATCTCTCCGTTTTATAAAATTATGTCATCAAAATTCGAAAGTTTTTATTAAAAAATTGTGTTCTTTCTACATTATTTTTATATTATCTACATTATTTAAATTATTCTTATAACTTCAAGTTTTATGATATAAAAAATGCCTTTAGCTAATTTATATAAAAATAGTTGTAATCTAATCTAGTATGCAACGGCAATAAGGCCTAGTAAATTTTGGAGATTGTTGATTGTTGTTGATGTTAACGCCAAATTGCAGCAAAGGTGAAACCACGAAGAAAGATCATTAAACCATTAGAAGGGCCAGAGAATGGCCAAAGATCTTTTCAAAGTAAAGGATAGTAAGAAAAAGAAAGAGAAGACTGCCATCATAAAAACAAAAATCAAAGAAAAATAAAGACTAATGACTATTCTTAAGCTAGAATTATAATTTAATTGTAAGATAATCTTGATTTAGTAGTTATGCAAAAATGTCAAATAATTGCCGTTTTCTTTTTCAAATGTTTTTTGAAAACTTTGTAAAAATTAAAATTACTTTAAGATTTGTTTTTATTTGCATCTTTTTAATTAGTAATAAAACAAACTGCAATATGAATATTGTTGTTTCAATTAATCTTTACAATTGCATTTTTAACTGAGGTGGGCTTTATTTGTCTCAGGTTTTATTATGTATACATATAACTGTAGTTGTACTTATTGGGTAGTTATTTTTCCTATTAATTCTGTTTTAAATAAAATTAAAGTTTAAGGTTTTTAAATATCTTTACGAAAGATTCATAAAATAGAGGAAGCTTTGTGAATAAAGTCATATGCAAATTTCTAATTCTTCTCCTATGCGCATGCAGGTTTTTGACTTTCTTATAGAAGAAACTTTATGTGCGAATTAAAATTCTGAGGAAGCAATTCCAATTTGCATCTTTCTTTATTTCTATTATCGTAACAAAGCAATTAATATTTATTTGTCGTTATGTGGATGATAATCACAACGTTAATTTGATCTGCAGTTTTATATATGTATATACATACACACATATATACAATTTCATATGTGACGTGGATTAGCATTCCAACTTTTTCTTATAGAGAGAATTGTCGTGCATTGAGAACAAATAAGTCTTTAATCAGAAAAAAAGAATGATATTGTCTACACCGTGATGTTTTCGACCTTTTACCAATTGGCAATACAGTCTTATTAAATATGTGATTTCTCCCATCAAGTATAATTTAGTTCATATTTTAATAAACAAATAAATATACCTATGTGTACGTCATATCTTTTGAATTGAGGTATTACATACTTGTAAAATATCCGTTTTCGGACATCTCGGCAAAGAACAAACCGAAAAACTTAAAGCAGGAACCACATCAATATCGATAGTTTTCCAGTCGTAATTTACTGTTAATGTAAAAGCTGGTCCCGATTTTTTCATTTTTATCTAAATACAGATAAAACATGTAATATTAGTTTAGCTTTATTAATTAATTTAGTTTTTTCTTCTTATGATACATATACAGACAATTTTAAATAGCCAAATATATCGAGAGCAATTTTGCTCGTTTATTATAATATGATTTTTTGAATCAACAGATATCAAATAAAAACTACTAATGTGATAGCAAATGGCAAAAAGCTTACTATTTTTTTTATTATCCACAATTGAACACAAGCAAAATAAAAAAATAATAATTAATAGTTAAACAAACATTTAATTAATAATTTAATAACTAAATAAATATATAAACAGTAATGAAATAACACATTTATTCGATATACATGTATATCAATTCGATTGCCATATTCTGTGAATATTATAATATCAAAACGTTATCTTACAATTATTATAAATGCAATTAATACTAGTCTGCAATTCTGAACAATTCTGTCACCAAAATATGTTTAATATTTCACTTACTGGTTCACGACCAGGCAATTTAATTATACTACATCCACTAGTAGCGTAGGCCACTTTATTCAAAACTCCTTCCATCCAATTACGAAATTTTTCTTGGTTTAGATACGATTCATCATCAATGAAGGACTTCAATTCTCTAAACAGAAAATAGACTTTTCTTATTTTGTAAATTATAATATTGAGGACCTAACAAGAAAAGGTCCTTACCTTAGAAAATTAAAAAAATTATAAATTTTGGCTATACCTAAAGAACGGTCTAATTTTTTAAATAATTTAATTTTTTCTTGACATAATCATTTTTATGTCAAACGTAAGTAAATTGGAATATATTAGTGATTAAAGTTGATTATGAGTCAGTGATTGCAATTTACCAATACTATTTCATGCCTGTATTCTAAATTAATACACGCACAATTACGTAACATACAAATTCGGAAAATTTTCTAATAAAATTTGTCCATTATCGAAAATTATAAACCTCAAGAAGTTGTATCATTCTTATTGTTTTTTTTTTAGAGGTTTGCATGGCTATTTTAATATTCTTATTATGCGGTACGTTAACTTTTAATAAAAATGGATAATGGCCAGCCATCGAGTTCAATAACAAAAGGTAATCAGATCCTATATTTGGCACACATACATCCATCAATTATATAACTATTCGTTAAGTAATGATTTTATTAGTTTTTCACATGTAGAGACTTGGCTAAGTATTGCCAAAGTTTTATAATATTTTGAATTTTTGAGTTAAAAATCTTCCCTTGTAAATATATTTCTATAATACAATATTTACTTAGAGACTTTCGGATCTAAATTTAAAGCTTTCTGCGGGTTTATATCTCTCCAAACTGTGCACATTTTAATACAACCTGGTCGATCTTTCGTAAACTGGAATATAATCAATAAGTTTAATTATAATATTAAGTTTTATTCGCGTTGATCTTATCGTGGAAGATTGCATTACTGAATTGTTAAGAAAATATAACTGATATTGTTTTATTAATATATTATCAAGTTGAAATTATTTAATATGTATGTGTATTTTAAAAGAGAAATAACGCCATATACACAAAATAAGTCAAACAATAAAAACTTTTCACATAAATAATTACTTCGAATTTTCTTAAGCTTGAAAAACTTTCAGCATTATACGCTGATTATAAAAATAATATCTACCTGTATGTCTCTTTCTTTGAACGGTAGATTGATCACAATGTCAATATCGTATTCTCCTGGTTCGCCGACACGAGTGCCTTTATAAAAACTGCCAACCCAGCTAATTTTTTGAAATGTTTTAGCAAATAATGGACTCTGCATTTTCATAGCCGTTATTAACTCGTCCAAAATCTGCCGCATACATTACAACGTACAATATGCATACCAACATAAAATTAATAGGATACAATTTAAATAATACAAAGACTTTTATACAGTACTGTTTGCAAGATCGGATTTTGGTGCGTTATGACATCTGAATCCATTTTTATAAATGTAGTGTTTATTTTATTGAATATGGTATCATCTTTCATATACTGATATAGAGATAAATCTGCGAACTGCGCCATCGCGTGTATATGTAAGTTGCTGTATTTTCAAAATCTGTAATTACTTAAAATTATTACTTAAAAATTGTCCTATTTTACGTTATATCGTTACATAAGTATTATCAGGGTTGGGAAGTAACTCGTTACTTGTAACGCAGTTACAGTTACTTTTTTTGGTAACTCTAACTTAACTTCGCTAGTTTCTTTTTCTTGCTAACTGTAACTTAACTCAGTTACATTTTTCGTAGAAAAAAAATGGAAAATCGTGAAAAAAAGAAGATAATACAGAGGAGGTATGTATAAAAAATAGAGAGGACATCACTTAGAGAAAAGTGAAATAGTCGAGTTGTGATTTATAATTTAATAGAAATACTATATCAATTTATAAAAAAGAATTATTTTATTTGAATGTAATAAACAAGTTTATAGTTCTTTTACGAATTTAATACGAAGAAAGGAATATCCAAATAAATGGTATGGCGCGCGTATGTGTTCTACTTGAAATAAAAATACAAATAACTGCTTCAACAAATGCAATCACGCTTACGGCAAAGTTATTAATTGTTATTCTGAGGGATTCTACTTATTCTGTAAGAAATTTAATGATTCATTTTAGAAGCGTAAATACTTTATATTTTATATTTTAATACGTAACGTCAAAATTAATTACAAAATTGCATCTTGACAAATCTATCGCCCAGTCAGAAATGACTCGTCGATCGATGTCGAAACGATGTCGAATCGACGTCAATAGGACTGTTTCGATGTCGATACAACATCGTTTCGACGTCGATCGACGAGTCGTTTCTGACTGGGCAGCTATTTATTGTACTCACCAAAAAGATGAAGACAAAAATTGCGAATTCATCAATATTGCTGCACAAATTTGCAGCTATATTCACAAGAACTAGACAATACGTTCTCAATAATTTAACTTATGTTAAAGCTGCTCACACGTCCTTTATTAATTATTTTGTTTGACAAATTATTATTTACAAAACTATGACACGAACAATAATACCGAACTGCATACTGTGAGCTTAGGACTTTCTTGCTCTATATATATATGAGCATCGTTATCAGGGATTAGTGTTCAGAAGTGAGTCATTCAACTTGAATGAGTATCAGCTCTTTTTAATTAAGAACCCAGGGACAAAAGCTATATGTATATCCAAGTTTGTCTAATTGTATCGAATAATGTCAGATATAATAAAATTGGATCAGATTATATCCAACTTTTAGTGCATCCATTTATACACGGAAAAAAACATTTAGCTGCTGTAGCTAAAATTTAGTAAACTATGGACAGCTTTTACTAAGTTTTAGCTACAGCAGCTAAATGTTTTTTTCCGTGTAAGTATATCAAATCAAATGTGGTCAGATATAGTCAAATGTTTATACCATTTTTTTTATTTATCATACCAAACATGGTGTTCCTCCGTAATAGGGAGAATAGGATCGGGGGAGGAAGGGGACAGGGAAATTTAAAAATCGCGTATCGACAGTTCGGTGTATGGTCGACAACCCTTATCGACGCACAGTTCTGAAAAGTCGAAATAAACGCGTAAACAACATCTTAAGTAATATGCATGTTACAGCCCCAGTGGTCGAGCTGGCTAAGACGCCCGTCACGGATTGTAGGGAGGTCCCAGGTTCGAATCCTGGCTGGGGTAATATTTCTCGCAATAAGAATTTTAATTGCCAGATACGGTCAATAAAAATCACAGATGTTATCATCATGTTATCATGTCAGATATGAATCTGACATTATTTGCACATGCGATACAATTAGATAAAATTGGATATATGGCTTTTTCTCCGGAAAGCTACATACACTTTAGTACAAGTAAAAACAGAAACATTTTCAAGAATTTTTCCACATAATTAATTCTTTAATCAAAAATTGTAAAATGTCTTTAAAAGTGTGAAATTTTAAGAACATTTATAAAACAGTTTTTTTAATTCGTTGTCTCCAAGTTACAGCCTAAAGAACGAGGCAGGTTCTTTATGGACAATGCCAAAAAATCTTTTCCAAGATTTATTAAAAACGAAAACAACCAATTCTTTAAAGTAGAAGAATAAAATCTGTCTTTATCGTAGGATTTTTTTTAATGACATAGTATTTTTTCACCATTAATTAAATTTTTTCAAAATTCAAAACATACCCTATATTCTTTTTAGATCTAAATTTTTAATTGCGATAAGGACTAGTTTTATTCTTCTACTTTAAAGATGTTTTCGTTTTTGTTAGATAAAATTCAAAAAAGATGTTTTGGCGCCGTAGATGCTATCCGCGAAGAACCTGTCTTCAGGTTCACCAAAACTATAACTTAAAAACAACGAATTTTAAAAAATTTTATTTTGTAAATATACCTAAAATTGTACACTTTTAAAGACACTTTTTTATTTTAAAAATTGTATGAAAAAATCATAGGAAAAGAAATTCTTCAAAATTTTCCTTCTGTTGCTTGGTCCAGGTGTATGTAGCTTCTTAAAACATCTTTAAAACTTTACATGCGTGCTGGGGATTCGGGGATTCAGTGATTCAATTTAAAAAGGTAGAAGTCAAATAAAACGAAAATTTGAAATTTTTTATTGTATAGAAATTTCAAATTTTTAACTATACTATCTTTTTCTTGTCAAAAATAGATAAAAGATTATCTATGTCAATTCTTTTGCCACATACGTGTCTCAAAAACATTGTAAGAAATCATCTTTTAATATTTGTGTTGCTTGGAAAGATTCGATAAAATTCGACCTCTCTCAGAAAGATGACTCAAAAAATATTACTCTAAAATGCGTGTTAAGTTCTAATTTTTACATTATACAACAGTAAAATTAGAAAGGGTTTGAAATTACATAATCTACATTTTTTTAAATAAGGACTTTATTTAATTAAAAATAGGCTCTTTTATTATAAAAAATGGTGCGAGAAAATAACAAGAACAGTTTTTATATACTACAATAAGAACAAAATAATTTATATTTGATTTTAATATTTGGTATGTACCTATATTAAAAAAATTTTGAAGCTTTCTTGTCTTGTTTTTTGCCTGATTTCTTAATCTTTTCTTAATTTTTCTATTTATTATTGTTTTTCTGAAGAGGCATAAAAGAATGTTATAAACATTCTAGTTATCACCGTTTTTCTTAAGGCACAAAAGAATGTTATAAACGTTTAAACTTTTTTTTCTACTTTTTGTTTATTTGATAATCTTTTTTCCATATTTTTCTATTTACTTTCTATATGTTTTGTTTTCTTTGCAATCACTTCACCACCATTTTGACAAACTATTCCTTTATCTTTATCTGATAAATTATTATTGTCCACCTTTATATCGCAAAGACAAACTATCAGTTCCGCGAATGTTTGTTTCCCTGAATTCGAGTAATTTGTTCGAGGACGGTTATCAGTCTCCTGCAAATCGCTTCACTGATAACAGCCTGACTTTCTAACACCTTTGTTAATCCTTTGTAGAACTCTTCCGCTTGTTCATCCAAGTGTGTTAACTTCGGCGCAATGATTTCAGGCGAGCTTTTCTTCTCCTCCAACTTTGGCATCTTCTCTTTTCTCTCAGATTCCTTGCATTTATTTATCATTATTAGCATTTTTATTTCATATTTTATTATATTGTTCAGATATTTATATACATATAATATATATAGTCTTTGTATTATTTATGCAAAAAGTCTCATCTCAATTTAATATATTTATGCTCGAAACTATTACTTATTCAACAAAATATATGAAATCAAAACTATATTATTAAAAAAAATACTTCTCATGACAATATATTCTTGAGTAGCAGACGTAAAATAATCTCACGTTACAGATCATCATAGATAATCAGATCTGCTCGTGAACAAGATAAAAAATTTAGATAAAAAATAAATTGAAGTAAATAACTATCTTTTATTTTTTAGTTCAAGTTTTTTAGTACTTACGTTGTACTCGTAGCATCTGTGCTCATCGCTATAATCTTGAACAGCTTTAGCCAAGTATTTAAGATAATCTTGCATGTTAGTAAAGCCTTTGAAGACATGATATAGTCTCGAAGACAAGTAGGCTTGCATAACATTGCTGATGCCGGGTATCTTTGCTAAAGCTTTTGCTATTGCGGCGATCAATTGCTCTGGGCATACATGTCCCACATGCTCGAAGGTCTCCAGAGCCTCTTGTCGTACCCAAGGATTCTCGTCTTCTAGTAAGCGACTGAACAATTCGATTAGAGTAGATACGACACTTTGAACTCCGCAACGACCGAGATCCTCGACATTCTGTTGTAGAAAATGGCAGACTTTAATTTTGCCTCGAGACGATAGATGAACACATGAAGTTGCGACAGACGTCAGAATCTGAAATATCAAATATATATCTGATATTATGTTACAGTACTCTTATAATTTTTGCTGTTGCCAAAGGATTAATCCCGTTAGCAAATTGTTAGACAGACAAGATTTTTTTATACCGCACAAAAACTGTCATCATTCAGATTTTTGAGATGAGTAGCGTCGAGCAAGGTAACAACCAAATCGGTCAGTAGATCCAATTGTTTGCCGTCGCACTCAATAATCACATCCGCAACGAAACTCCATATTTTAGTTAGAGCATTAATAGTTTCCTTGTTATCACTGTAATCCACCGCTATCATCGCAGACACGATCTGCATCTGAAAATCGATATAAACAGAAAACTTGAAATTGTGAAGAAATATAGTTTAAAACATGAAAGTTCTATACAACCAAAAAATTCAAAATTTCAAGACAAATTATAATTATAAAAATTTCTTGTAGTTAAAACAAGCGGGTAAGCTTAAGTATCTAAAACATTTGGCATATCTTACAAGGCGCTTCCAACTATGAATAGAAGGGTGATCCTGCAAGTCTAAGAAAACCTTTGGTAACTCTTCGACTTTACGCCTTAATCGTTCCGATGAAAGAAATTTGGCTTTTGCTATTAATAAATGCAGACTAGAGACATAATGATCCATATCCAGATCGATAAAGTTGTCGAGCAGAGTGGATTGCACATCTTCGTTTAGCAAATCGTACAATCTGACGATCGTGTTGTCTAGTATGATCGCTTCTATGCTGTCGCGTCGTTCTACCAAGGCGGCGGAAACTTTAATCAGGTGTTTAACATGATCGGCGCACAATTGTGAAGAACCGAGTCTTAAATAAATAATTATACTGTATGAAAAATCATAATTTGATCGGTTCCCAGACAACACGCATATCTAAAATGTCTTAAAAACGTCATAAAAATGTTTTTAAGGCACCTTTTAGACACACGTATCTAAAAGACAACTTACAGATGTCTTTACGATGTCTTTTAGACATGCGTGCTGTCTGGGGTTTACTTGTACTCAATATTAATCAATGCTGTGTTACTAATCTAATAATCAATTATATAAACATAAATTATATATAATATACTGTATTATATATATTAATAATAAATCAATGATATCTATCATTAATCACTAAATAAAATATAATATTATTAAGCAATGTTACATAATTTATAATTAAATGCACTAAGATTTTACTAATAATTATCACTATTAATGTTAATATAATGGCGATTACACTTGTTTACTTACCTGCCAATAAAGCACCAAACGTCCGAGCTTAATAGAGAGCACCAGAAATGACCTGACAATAAATACTTTAGTAGAAGCAGTTCAAGTGCGTGAAAATCTTCCGGACGAATTTGACAAACCAAGTTGCAAATAGATATCAAAGTTGCCTCGTAAATCCCAGTAAATCGCGGCCCTTCATCAACCCCGCGAACGCCTGGCAGTCGTAGATTTCCGGCGCAGATTTCTTCTTCGACTACAACCGAGAACGAGCGAACGAATAAGCGATACAAAGAGATTTAGCGTTTATTTCATCAACTGCAAGTTTGGAATAGTAAGAAAAGATGCAATTAAAACCTAAGTGCGGTTATTATAATTAATGCAATGTGAGTAAATTTTCTCGCTTTAAAATTTTAACAAATTCTTACAATTAACAAAATTACTAAAATTTCTAAAAATCTTAATATTTTCTAAATTCTACTAAGGCCTACAAAGCTTTTACAGTTTCCAGAAATTCTTGAAATTCTACATCTTGTAGGTAACTTGAAATCTTTACAATAGCTTTCCTTTTTATCACTTACGATGTTTTATGTATATGAATGCAATGTCCAAGATCGAGTCTGAGCCTAAATACCACTTGCTGTGGTGTTCAAATGGCATGTCATTCAATTTCCTCATGATAGCGATCGTTAGTAAAAGGTAATTTAATCTGTGCACATATTGATCACGTGGAGCACTTCGTCTTCCATATTCAAAATATATCTGAAACAGAACTCTGATTGTAATTATATCATTTGGGAAAATTAATTTTTGTTCCTCATTACATATAAGAGGATGTAGAAATGTAGAAATAATATAGAAAATAATATACAGACATATTTCTCCTCAAAAGATTTTATCAGTTACACAGCTCAACGAATGTATTGACGAAACAATTCTCCTGCATAGTACATTTACAAATTCGTCATTTTGTATAAATTAATTTCTATTATCTTGTACAAACTTACAGCACTTAGGCCTGGTTGCACCAACGTCATGTAATTTTAACGTTAGCTTAATTCACTCTTTGTCTCTTACTAAAGGAAACAGAAGAAGACAAAGACCGAATTGACGTTGGTACAACCGGGCCTTACTATTTTATAGAATTAGAAACAAAGTGTTTATAACAGTGGTGAAATAATTTGTATTATGATTTATCTTAATTGTTTCCATGTCTAGAACTTTGTGTGTATCACGTACCTGTTGGAAATCGTCACGACTGAAGGTAACATTTAAAAAAGACGTACTGCCGGCCAAGATTGTTCTTTCGTTATCTTTTATCAAGCAAGAGTATCTGTAAAAGAAGTAATAATTTTCTGAATATAATATTTGTTTATATCTATATTACATAATAATTCTATATATTATAATGATTTTATGCGATACGCAAATAAAAAGTTCTTGCAATGGACAGATTTTTATTTTGCAAAAATTGACGATTAATGAAAGAATTATCACCCGTGCATTTGTGCCAAAAGTTCCACAAAGTCCGACATCATTTCGCGCGTGATAGATGCGCCATAAGACGATATTAATTTCTCGAGGATTCTCAGTAAGCGCATAGCAACCATCACATTTCGTTCCGCGGTCTTATCATTCTGCTCCTGTATTATTGTACATTTATTCATTACAATCAGTATATAGACATAAAAATATAAATAACATAGATATCTAGTTAACAATATAGTTTTAATAATTTAATTTATATTTAATTAACAAATAATGACAAACATACTTATTTTAATTCAATTCAAGGTAAAATAAATCACGTGTGATATAATATACCTTAGCAGTAGACAAAAGGCAAGATATGTCCTTCGTCATGTGAATTAAATGCGTCGAGATGTTGTATGATTTTATTTTGCTTTGGGAAACAATGGCCAGTTTGGCAAATATCTCGGATAATTCAACAAACGTCTTGCTATCCATTCCGTTCGCAATAGAAGCGATGTTACCATACGCATCAACCACTGGAAAATCAATATAATTGCTCAGAAGAAAAAGTTCATCGATTGTTCTAACAGTAAGGAAACAACTCATAAGAAACTCGCGCTTTGCGCTTTAGTGCTTATTGTTAGTGCGTTTAGCAAGGGACACTTTATAATTTTGAAATGACACTTTTCTAATTTTTCACAATTCTTTACATACTCGATTCGCGAGTCTTTATAGATACATACCCAGAGAGAATATTTTTTTTTACAATTTATCCTGAAAACCATGTAATCGTAGGACAATACGGCATTTAAAAAAGTTTTATGAGAGTTTTTTAAATTTTATCATACATTTACTAATAACTATACTTACAAGTATACATTTTACTAGTAAAATGTATGGTAAAATGAAAAAACTCATAAAGCTCTTCAAAATGCCATGTTGTCCCACGATCAGCTGATTTTCAGGATAAATTTTTAAGAGAAAATTCTCCCCGTGTATATGTATATCTTTTTTCTTCCACTGTTATCAAGATTATTGAAAAAAAAATCTGACGAGTGCACGCGCCCGCGAGATAAGACTGGAAATAGTTCGGGTTAAAGAGTCGTTAGGGCGTAATGGGATCCCTCTCACCTTTCGTCAACAGCTCCGTTTCCGATTCCACGTCCGTGTCGAAGACGATTATGCCGTTCAAAGTGGCAAAGAATAGCTTGAAGACCGCGCCCGCCTTCGCAAACAGATTCCGCAATTCTTGCATTGCACCGCTCAATAGCGCTCCATATTTTGAGCTACACGATCAACAATGCTCCTTTATTCTCTGTATTATTCGATAAACTATGACTTGTTCCATACATCATAAAATTCGCTATGATTATATTTATTCGTTTATTAACGAAAAAGTATTTTTAGTACAATAACAGCAAATCGTAAGAACGTCGACATGTGGTGTTGATAAAAATATAACTAATAGAAATTTAATAATAATAATAGTCAAATAAAAATAAAAAATCATAATGAAAGATTATGACAATGAATTAAATGAATTAAACCATAGGTAAAAATTACATAATTATAATAAAAGTTCCACTTGTAGATTATGAAATTACAATCAGAATAAATAATATTAAAACTAAATAAAATAAAATTATAAAAGTCAATTATTCGTTGATTTTTGTTTATGTGTTGTTCACTTGACGGACAATTTATCCAATAATAGGAGAGGCCACAATGTAGAACATTCGACTATATTTCTCTTTGAAAAGTTTAGAGTAAACGCGTTGTTTATTGTTGGACAAAACGTATCTGGCAGATACCTGGCTTTGCAATGCTCAAAAATTATTCCCATCGTTTCCGGTAGAATGTCGCATAACGATGCTACGCAGGCAGCTCGAACTTTTCCATGCGTGGAAACGTGTTCCACGCATTTCTTCCAAAAAGCAAGAAGTCCGTCGCAAACTTGCAGTTTGCACTTGATGTCACCCAGATTATCGGGTCTCACATTATTGCCCATTGTTATATCATCTATAGTTTTTACGACCTTTAGTTCGTAAAAGAAAAAGAAAAACGAATAAAAGAATATTTCAACATTGAAAGTGATGCGATAAATAATTTGTGTTGAGCTACAAATACACTTACGATTTACTTCATAAGCGCGATATAAATGCATGAAAAATAATTAACCTTTGGATGCACGACTTCTCTAAAAAGGTTTGCAAAAATGCAAACGCTAGAAAAATACTTGCGATAATTTTAAATTGAGTGTCAAAAGAGAGCGATTAATTTCCTCTAGAAATTATATTTCAAAGAAGAAAAACGTGATTGAAAATATAAAAGAACATCATAAATAAGATCTTAAAACCGCTTCTTATGCATCCAGCAGTTAAAATATACATATATGCGTATATAAAGGTTTTAATAAGATATTGTAGCTTTCTTTTATAAAAGTACCTGTAATAGAAAGTGTTGAGCTTTTGGGAGAACTTTTCTGAAAATTTGCTCGTCGAGCGACTCAATTGGGCACGTGGAGAAACATTGCTGCAGCATATGCAGTAAGCATTCGGTATCAAGAGTGAGACTTTTTTCTTCCAGTAGAGCGTAACGGTTGAAAAAAAGTTAGTTAAGGGTCGATCAGTTTGAGGAACATTATTCGAAACAAAAATGTGTAAGCAAAATGTAAAAAATAATACCAATTATACCTTAAGTATAATTTTAGAAAGCAAATATAAAGCCAAGAAGACTCTGTTGTTTTCAATTATATTATTTGATTTTTCATCATGGAGAGTGTATATTTTTGCTTTTTATAGATTTTACATGGCATCGGGATAAAGGCATCCACCATACAAAGTCTTTAGGCATCACGTTTGCTTCCTAAAATCGCTCAAATAGAATCATTAACGTACTTTCGTATTTTTAAATCTACGAGAATTCAGGTTCAATCTTCAGTTACTTAATCATTCTATGTATCAAAGGATATTTGCAGTTTCGACACATTATAGTCCAGATCAATTGCCTCACAGAAGAAGTCAGAGAGGTTGTTCGACAGATTATTCTCGTCCATATCTAAAAAAAATATAACACTATATAAGTAATTTTAATATAAGTAAGATGAGTAGAGATGAGTAAAAGCACTCAGGAAATGAATAACTTTTAACACCAATAACTCTCTTCCAGTCCCACCGATTGGCATGTATCATTTTTAATTATTTCACAAAGGAAAGTCAAATACGGCAATTACTTAAACAGTTAATTTTTCATCTGATGCAAAAAATTGGTTTACGGGAAGGAAATTGATTCAGGAAACAATTGAAAAATTATTCCCAGTCAAGAAAAAATAATTACGCGCTGATACTTAACTCACAAAGGAATTAATACTACATACAATAAATTTACGACACGACTTGTTGAAAATAATTAAGAAGATGTACAGCAAATAAAATACGCTGTTAACTTAAACTATTCGCTAATAGCGTATTTTCGCAACAGTTTCAAATGGAGATCGATCAACTGAGGGGAGGCAGGGGGGATGTAATCAGACTTAATCCTCCCTCTCCCTTCCGCTATCAATCTCGAATAATAGGTAGAAACGGGGCAAATCGAAAATTTCTTGGCAATGCTCGAGGTTGCCAAAGTTTGCTGATAAGGACGTCAATTAAGGCAGCTCCAAGCTCTAATCGTCGATTCGCCAAAAGTTTCTGGCTGTAATTTCTGCGCCATCGCCGGCATGCGAAATTGTAACCCACTTCTCGGGAAAATTTAACCGATCGAATCGATACGCAAGGTCGATTTCCCGAAATTTCCCTTGAACGGGTTCAATTGTCACGAGCACACCTACATATTTGGTACATTATAATTTTCCATTTTTCGAGTGACACCGAGAAAAACGATAAGAGATAGAAATAACATTGGTAGATGCAGGGGACAATAAACGAGCAGAAATATAAATTTCAACAATATACTTCATGTTTGCAATTATTTTCAGAGTTTTGAGCTTCACTGAGCAAAAACATTGTTACGTCTTAATTGTAGATTTTTCTTATGTACATGTAACGTTAATACTTAAAATTCTATAATGCACTGAAGATGACCTGATTAAAAGTCGAAACGTACGTATAAATTTTATAAATAGAAGTTTTTAACACGTACACCAGCGTCTGGTACCAGGTACTTTAGCTCCTTTTAATGTAAATTTATTTTATATTATCGAATTTTTATCATATATTAATTTGGTTTAAATAAATAAGACATAATTAGAAAAGATCCATGTATCTATCTACAGCCAATAGTCATAATAAAATAGAATAAAAAAGAAAAGAAATAAAACCCAGGAGATGAAAGTAGCGTCAATGATTAAAAATTATCCATAATCAATTCGAAAATATGAATGTGTTAAGCAAGGTGTTACAGCAGTTGCTGGAGATGTATAGAGTTGCCTTCAGTTTAAGTGTAAAAGACCGTGTTTAGAAAAGTTGATTGTTCGATAATGTAAGGCAAGAATATAAAACAGAAATGCTTTCAATTAGATGCTAGAGCTTCTTGTTCATGCCACTGTGTATGCGTGACTCAGAAATAAAATTGTTACGGTCAATAGGAGAAAAAGAAAAATAAGTTAATGAGAGAAGCTGGGAGATTTGAAAAAAAAACGGATGAGAAACAACGAAAGAGTACGGCGGTGAAATATAGAGCGTGTAGCTAAGGGAAGACTGGCGTACATTCGTATAAAAACTGAGGGTTAATGGAGAAAAAGGACATCCAGGGCGAGGAAACGAGTTCAAAGTTGGTTCCCTTCGTCAAGGCCACGCGAATATGAAGAATCCTGGTTGGAGGACAAGGGGATGAAGAGGGGAAGACAAATGAGACCAGTCGCGGGAGTGAACGAGCGAGAAAAGAAGTCGATCCGCGCCCCAGGAATTGGAATGATCGAGCTGTCGGACTTGCCATGGCAACTGCGGACAACAAGCTGTCAGATGATGGGCAGAGTTTTGATCAATAATAGCGGCAGTGACTGGTTGCCTGCCGGCGGTTCTCGAGTTCGATATACGGAGTCGCGCGAACAGTGATTTTGACTCCAAACAACAGCACGTGGCTGCCGAGTAGTAAGGACAGGGGGTGGCAAAGGGGTTAAGAGAGGGTGGTTCCGACACGTGACGAAGAGCGGCGAACGACGTGTACCAGGCTGAGTCACGGAGGATGGATTTGAGCGATGCGATTTTCGATCGAGAGATGCTAATTTCTCGTCCCTGAATTGCAAACTCAAGACTCGAGCCGCCAGTCGGCTCCTGAGTGGCACTGACTACTGATTGCGATGCCGACGTTTCGGTACTTCAATATGCCTGCTTATTGAAAGAGTCTGACCTACTAAATTCGTACATTTTACGCTTGTAATACGGCAAAAGGAACGGCGCAATAAAACAGAAATTAAAGCTTATTGTTAACAAAACATTTTGTGTCCCTATCAAAAAAGAAATTGCAGAAAAATCTCTTGGAGATATGTTTAAAACAAATATATTATTAATAATTGTAGCAACTCAAAATGTGTCCTGTATTAACATTAAAAATAACATTAAATAATAATAAACAATTTTCTCTTTAGCTGTTCTCCCCCGAGATAAGTTTTTTTTAAATATGGAAAAGAAACTCGCAGAGAAAGGAAGAAGATAATTGATGAATTCTTCGAATATTTTTTTTCTATATTTTATTTCGATAAGACACGAAAGTAAAATAATTATTCTGCCGTTAGGGAAAGAATAAATATTATAATCAATAAAACTTTTCTTCTAAAAACAATTCTCTTTTTCGTCGTTTTAAGTAACTGGAAGTTTATTCATGTCTTTTTTTTACGTAATTCTCATTAATATGATACATATTATACATTTAATGAAACTAGATCGGAAAAAAGTAATTTAAAATTATGATAAATGCAATAAAAAAAATTCGCTTATTCACGACATCTGTCTCTCTTCAAAACGCGTATTTTCCGTATAAATAAAAAAAAAGAAAACTTACAAATATGTATTTTAGGTGTACTTCAAATTAAGGAAGAATATTTTACACAGCTTGAAATTTAAAAATATAAAATGTAAAAATAACTTTTCCTTTAATTACTTTTCATCATTAAAAACATGTTGATTTTACACAACTTACTTTTTCAACAAAAATTTATTTCAACTTACTTTAAGGTTCGCATTTATTTTGTGTTGAAATGTTATCACAGTACAGTATCGCCATTCAACATATCCACATTATGTTAACTTAATATAAAAATTTGTATGAACCGTTTAAGACATGTGATATCTGTTAAGAACACAAAATTTTCAACTGTACACACATACACGGATACCACGATGTTACGTCACCGTGGCCTCGGGGGCAACGTATACGAGGTGAACGAGGAGTTCGACTACCCTGGTAGCGCTGACAGTGATCGTAATGACGGGGGTTAATGGTACCAGTACAACTATAGCGTTGTTCGTGTGTTGGCTCCCGTTCAAGGCAGAGGCAGGGAGGGGAAGAGAAAGCGAGAAGGGGAGAGTCGGTGCACGGAGCTAGCATTTGTGAGCTGGGCTTGGACTTGGTACACACCGAGGATTGGTGGAGGGCAATGGATGAGGGTAGTCAGTCAGTCGGCGCCCGGTCGTGGCGTCGACAACGTTGCTCGGTGGGCTCTTCGCTCGAGGGCTGAAGAGACCTAAAATTATTATATTTGTAGGGAACGAGAAAGACCCTATCCCTCTTCCTCCCTTAACTGGTGTTATCGTCAAGGGGTTGCTTACCAATGAACGAATAAATAAATAAGCTCTGGGGTTTTGGAAATTGTCGCGAAGACAATTGCGCTAACAATGCGAAGGCGATCACCTGGAGATGTCTAGCGGTAGAAGAGCCACGCGACCTGTCAGGCAGCTGTCGTTGCAGCAGCCCGCACCGCGTCGACAGCACATCAGGCGGCAGAGATCGGCGGAGGACGATTGCGGCAAGTCCCTGCAGATCTACGCGAATCCGATCGCACGCGGAAGATTGGCCGCAAGTGCGACGGAGAAGCCCAAGGTGCGGTAGCTGAGAAAGCTCGCTTTTCTCTCGGGCGTATAAAACTCGCATTTTTTATCATTAAATGAAGAAGTGCGTAGTCTTAACAAACACGTCTTGTATTACACAATTGTTGTTTATATTATCGTATAATCGACAGGTGCGAGTCGCCTGGGGTGATGATCGTCGCGGCTGCGACAATCTGACCCAGGTGGAGATAGTGGCTCGACAGATCCCGGGCCGATCCAGACCGGCCACAGGTCGATCCAGCAGGGCTTATGGTACCACGGAGAAGGCGTCGATCCTGTACTCGCGGCAGGAGCTCGCCGAGAGGCTGCGACTCGCGTGGAAGCACCGCGAGCAGAACAAAGCAAACCTCGACATCTTCCTGGCGCACGGCGTCGCGGTGGAGGAACGCTGCGAATCTCAGTTATCAGTGTCCGTCCCGCCGACCCCTGTCTCCAGGAAGGAGCTTGATTCTGTTCGGGATGAGAAAAAGGCCCAGCGGAATCCAGCAGGGCTGCATAATGTGGGAGACCGGGGGAAGGAAACGTGTGAAGACGAAGATGAAGATGAAAGATTAGAGAAGAAGGGGCTGGAGACTGCGCCTCGATTGATGGAGAACGATCTATTGCCGAAAGGGGCTGAGAAAGTAGCGAGAAGCGTGGAAAGAGAGAAAGGAGATAACAAGGTATTTAGCTGGATAATTTTTAGTAGTGTAGAATCAAATTCAATAGAGGAAAGTCGCCTTTCGTGAGATCCCACCCATTTGGTGCAATTGCCGGAAATCTATGGGCAGAATTAAAAAATGTAATAGGTCATTTTGAAGAGAATTTAATAAGCTTTAAGTCACTGAAGCGTAAAATTTAATTTAAGTGTTATTTTCTCTGAAAATTAAAAAAAAGAGCTTTATGCAAAATCGAAACGAAATGGTCCTAATATGAGATACCTCGAAAAAATCGTCTCGCTAATATCAATAAAAGTACAAATTGCACTGAAGAAGACTTATTAAAGCCGAAACGCTTGCTGCTTAATTATCTGAGGCAGTTATTAAAGAATAAAGCATAAAATAATATGCATAGCTTCCTGCTCGTTTAGTTGGCCCTTCTCCTTCATTAATTTGCATTACATCAAACGATTTTTATCTAATAATTGTGCTCGTAATAACACAATTTTCAATCGCCAATTAATTGAGTGGAGAACGTTACCGACTTTTTAGGGCCCGGTGACCGATTCGTACGATAATCTCGATATCGAGGAGGACGAGAAGAGAAAGAAGACGCGAATAAACATCGATTGCACGAATCTACATCTTCCAACGACCGATCAGTCGCAGCCGTCGGCCGCTTTTTCAGACTCGAAAGCGGTAAACGCGGATCCAGCCAGGACCAACGCCGATTTCTCGCTGGCGAAACAGAAGCGCGCGAGTTTTCACAGCGGTACCAATCGCGCCTTTCTCGTGCCGATGGTGGACAAGTCTCCGAAGGTACCGGAAACGAAGGGCAAGATCGCGCCGGCGAAATCGATCGAGATCAGATGCGCTTCAGCCGATAAGACCGCGGCAAGATCGCCAATCGACAAAAGTGCCGGTCTCATAAGGAGTTTGTCGGCGGCGAGTCTGGAAAAAGCAAGGAGAACGAATTCCGCGCCGCCGCAGAGACGAAATCTCGTGCCCGCGGCGCGCGTCCAGGTGAACATCGTGATCGACGCGCCTAGTCTCGCCGAAGCGACGGATAAATCGATAATTTGTGAAAAAATGCAAGATGGAAAAGACGCCGCGGCCGTGGAAAAATACGAGGAAGGTGTGACGAAGGTAAGCGGTCACGCCTGAGCTCTTTCTAGAATCGGAGCGAGAGATACAGGGATTCACTATCGTTTCGCGCGACTTGAATCGCCGATCTCTCGGTAATCAAATAATTCAAAAGTAAATAATCTGCGTAAAAATAAAAATAAAAAGAACAGTCGGATAAGAACAAAGATAGGAATCTGCGCCAACTGTCCCCTAGATATTGCGAGGAGAGCGATCGATAAGATCGGCGCCTTTGAAGAGGAGATCAAGAAGCGCGAAGAGACGTTTCCTCGCCTCGTCGGGCCTGAGCAAGGACGAAGATCGCGGGGGACGAGGGAAGGCTTTTGTGGATTCCAAAACGAGTGACGTGGTCACCATGGTATCGCTGGTTAGCTCGGCCGACAGCGACAGCGACGTGGAGAACTCGCCGGGCGACGATAAGCTTATCAATGAGCTGCGCAGCAAGTTACCCACCACGCCTATCATTAAGACATCCATCAACCCCAATCCCGGTTCGGCAAGAAAACCGATCAAGTCGGGTAAGATGCAACTTATTTTATTCTTATATAAATTAAAACACACACACGCACAAACAAATTATACAAATTTATCAAATAAATATAACAGTAGATTTAAAGACTCCTTACACTCACAGAAAAGATTTCCCGACTCAACGCTACTACACCGAAATGATAGATCGAAATCTATCATAAAATAGAATCGATAGCGACAATGTTCATTATCGAGAAAGGAATATTTAAATGGAAAATTCTTAAGTCTAAAGTAAAATGATGTTGGTGTGTATGTTATATCATACCGCGAGTAGATTTATTCTAAGCGCAAGCGTCTTATATATGTTTAATTTGTATACGTTACCCTTAGTTCAATATAGTAAGTCAATTTTATTAAATTCAAGAGAGGCGAACAGGAATTATTGATTTAAACTTAGTGTTTTATCTTGTTTACTGACTGATATTGTAAGTTTAAATACTAATCAAGAATAATTTTTGCCTTGTTATCAGAAGTCCTTTTTCTGATATGAGGGTAGGAATCCCCTATTTCTTGAAATCTGCGCTTATCGAGGATAAAATGACTTTTACTTGTCACGCCATAAATTATTTATCTAGCCATGCGATCGCGTTGATAACATCCGATAACGTTATACGCGTGCGGTAACGAGTGAGGCGAAGAGGTGTAGAACTATAATTGAACCGACTAATTAAGAGAGACACGAGACACGCAAGCTGCACATAGCCGGAATAATTCTGGTCTGTCTATGCAATGTGAGCTCGCGTTCACTTTGCGATCAGTGAAATTCTTTAGTCTGCCATTCGTAATAATTAAAATCGCTTAATTTCTTCTTCATTAATCCGTTCTACTTTACATAAATATTCTTTTAACTTGAACGCGAGCAGTTTGCAATTACTTGGGAAATCGAGTGAATCTTTTAACAGTACCTCAAAATTTGTTGATGGAAAGAGAAGAGGAAAGAAAGTACAGAAAAATTAATTCTTATATACACTTGCATATTATATCAGAAAATAAAAATATATAATTCTTTAAGCCGTTAAACTCATAATTATGTAATTATGAACTACATTGTGATCAAAATTGATGTAAAGGTAGAAAAGGCTTTTATTCTACATTTTTAATCTTTCTTTACGTCGAATCATTTTTATATAGAATGCCAGTTGTAATAATGGTCCCAGTACGGAGTCGTGCAGTTTATATAGAAACATCGTGATTGATCATGTTGGATTAATAGATTTGCGGTATACGATCAAGTTTAGGCTTTTTACAAATATCGCATAGATCGAAGCCTATTTACCGAGTAACCTGGTTCCACTGTGCGTCAGTAACTCGAGCCAAACGATACGCGAGCCCATCATCGATTTGCTTTCGCGATAGACCGAGTCAAGTATCAAACGTTATTCCTCGTCACGAGCCTTTGGTCTCGGGGAGTCAGGCGAGATTGTTCGCAAAAAAAAATTTGAATTGTGCAAAGCGATCGAGATTAAATCGCCGAATAGTTTCTTTCCAGAGGGACTCGTTCGACGAAGAGGCGACGAAAGAGGAGAAGCGAATAGCCAGCAACCTTGTTCAACTTCCTCGTTTCGGCCTCGTCGTTAATGTCGCTCACCACGGAAACGATGGTGAGGACTTGGAGCAGGACAGCAGGACTGTCACCGATAGTACCGTCGCAATGCCGATGCTGGCCATCGATCCCGTGCTAATTTCGCAGGACACCGAGAGGACGGTACCGGAAGCGCCGCTGACTGATCGCGAGAAGAGGTGTCTGGCGGTGCCAATCGGCGATCTGCACGACAAGAAGCGGAAGCTGCTGCGTACGCGCAGCACACCGAGCCGCCCGATGTGAGTGAGATCTTCTTAAGTTGTAAGAGACTAAAGCCTCCTATCCCAAGCAGGATAAGAAGTCACATTGCAGGATGCAGGAAGAAAATTTATTGTTACGCGAGTCATGGCATTACTGCATGGTATTACGAATATCAAATTGACTCACTTCTTTATATCTCGTTATTTTAGCATGTCGGTCGTCATTTATTATTTATAATTCGGATAACAAAGATTTTATTATTTTAGAAATTAATCTCTCTCTCTCTAAGAATGCAAGCGTAACGCAAAATTGCAAAAATAACGAAAGCTCTTAAAAGGATAGCAAGGAGTGCAAACAGACGTGCGGAGATAATCGCTAAATGAAGCCCGTCAATTTGTAATAATCGAGCTATCGTATCTGATCTATGTATAAAGCGTGGGAAGGAGAAAGAAGAAGAGGGATAAAAAGTTCGATTGGCCGACGATTTATGATATTGACGTCGAAAAAATAAAGTGGGGCGATGTAACGATTGGGGGAGGAAAAGAGAGGAGGAGGCGGAGGAGGAGTAAGTTGGTTGGTAACAGACTGGTACGGCCGTGAATGTTCACATCCCGCGGATAGTGGTACGTCCTTCGATTGGTGCCTCCACCAAACTTCGATCATCATATTCGATGTCATTCGCGATGCATGCACCGCTTGCTTAGTTTAGAAGAAGTCCGGAAACTAAACTCTGCAATTTCTTGAATACGTCTTTTCGCAATCTTGCATTTTATGAATCAAGAACACCCTCTCTTTCTCTCTCTCTCTCTCTCTCTCTCTCTCTCTCCCCTCTCTCCTCTTTCTTTTCCCTTTGTTTCTCGTTTTGCGTTATCCAAATATCCTAGTAATTCTTAAATCTAAATGAATTCTTTTATTAAATATAATGCTATCTTATATTATTCTCATTCTTACACAAAGTGGAACATATTATGATATTATGTATATGTCTGTATATCTCAAATGTGTTTGAGCTTCAGCACTCCAATTTGACACAGAAGTAAAGTGGTATTATACAAATAATTACTGTCATTATTAGACAAATTCGTACAGCGTTAGAAATTTTAAGACAGTTTCAATTTATGCAAAAATGTCTGTATACTCTCAGTGTCCGCTTTATCCTTCTTTCTATCTTCCCCCAAGAGGAATTTAAGAAATTACATAATAGAAATTTAGATAAAATAGATAATTTTACGAAATAAACCGAGAACATTAAATAATAGTTCATGCAAAAGTCTAATAAATAGTGAAATAAAGAATCAATATTAATTGCTTACCAAACGTTTACTTTTTAAATGCATTTTTTATGTTCGCAGAGTAGCAGAGCGGACAAATAATGCTCCGATAGAAGTAAAAGAGCAGCGGTTGCCCCTCGCGATATCGCGAGTCGATCTCGTCGCGATTCCAACTCCACCGATCGACACACCGTTTTCGAAAGTAAAAGAATCAAATTAAATAGAATTTTACAGTGTATATTATATTGTAGAATTGCCTTATGTGCCATATTTTACAATAATTATTATTATTGCTGCTATTACTATTACCAATATTGTTATAATGCTGCACAGTTTTGTGATTTTTAGTTTAATGTACTTTTGACGTAAATACAGGTCGAGCAATTTCCTAAAGAGACGTCGCCGGCAAAGGAAACGCCACCAGAAGTGATGGTGCCATCGGAGCCACATTTTCAAACGACCAAGGAAAAGGAATGCTGGCATCTCTACAGGCGGATGTGTGATAAGGGCGTGTGCGTGTCCTTCGACACTGTTCTAAGGTAACGGATAATTATCGATTAAATTAAGAGCCCAATCAACAAATGTTATAAATAAATATCCAACGAATCAATTGGAAGAGGTCTTAAAAGAAGTTAAAATAAATTAGAGGTGTTGGAATCGCTTAGAATTCGAATAATTCGAAGATTTGGAATCGTCGACGATTCGGTTTCAAATCTGTCACTTTTTCCGTTTAATAAATATAATAATTTTTGTAATATAATAATAAAATTACTTTAAAAATAAACAGTGTCGCTGAAAAATGGCCAAGTTTATGATTTTATTTTTAAATCAATATTTAATGAGCTCAGAAAGATTGATTCAAATTCGAACATGAAAAGATTTGATTCGATTCGATTCGACCACGAAAGCATGATTCGCACACCTCTAGAATAAATTAACGAGCGTAGTATAACGTATAATATACGTGACATTGTTAATACAAAAATTTATTTCGAGATATTTAAGAACCTCGAGATATTTCGATAATACGAAATCAAACCAGGAATTATGATCCGATCCTCACAAGTAAACTATTCCAAGTGTCACGTTTTCATTTGTCTGTATTTTGATTTAAGATGTCGAAAGTTAATGTTTTATACCAAAAGAACTGACAAAGAAGAAGAAGTGAGATAGAAGACGATTTATTTGCATTTAACACTCGCTGTCTGTTTGGATAAATGACTGGAGAAATATATTTCAGAGGTATGCTAACACCGACGGAGTATCGACTGCGACAGAAGGAGTGCTCACAGGATTTGCGATGAGGTTCGCGAAGATGCCGAATGGTTATGACGTTCAGATACTTTTTTAATGGACCGATTATTGTTATTTTCACGAATCGATTGGTTATCCGAGAACGATAAACAACGAAACGTACTATTATACTAGGGAAGAGTTGAATAAAACGGGACATTTAAGTTTGTAGGGCGGAGAGGTGGTGCCATATCACTGATAACAAGGAAACTTGTTACCTACGTACGCAAAGACTTATGGGAAACCATTAAAGCAGAAAGATATCATGTGTATCGATCGCAGTGAATAATTTTGTTTGACATCAGCTCTGAAAGAATTGCGCGATCAGTTCTTCCTGCCACGAAATTGATAAATGCAAGCGAGGAATAAAGAACGCGAAAAAAAATAGGCCACCTTAATTCACATTGATTTCTCTATTTAATCATGAGTTAAGTTAATTTCTAAGCTTCGTATTGTTAGTTAATAAATGCCATGCTTTCCTCAAACATAGTTGTGCAAAACGGGGCAGCAAACGGTCTGACGAAATCGTGTACCCTGTTTTGAGCTGTGCTATAAACTCAACATCCAATGATTCAATATTATCAGAATAAAAACTGGGTCCATGAACGATGTATGCCTGATTTATACACATATGCAATTTATTAATTACAATTAATAAATTACATATATCACTTTATCATATATAGTACAATTCATTACTTATTAATTATTAATTGTTAATGGTTAATTTGTGTACTATTATTTGTATACATGTTACATAGACTAAGGTATCAAAGATCACGAGATAGCCGAGAAATGATTAATATTATTATCAAGATCGAGATAAGAACGATGCCTTGATAATAATAATAAAGTATAATAATAACAATAAATTAGGCGCGCACGGTAAAGCAATAGGCGCAAACCGAATTACCTGAAATTAGATGGTTCCTATTAAGCCTTAAATAAAATCCTACTGCCTCTTTCTTGATCCTTTTATATCCCGAATTATCTTTGAATTACTTTCGAATAATTTTCGACAACTCCCGATACCGGGGACACTTATGACGCCTTTAAGTACAGTAATGTAGAGTCACAGAATCTGTCTGTTCTTTAAATTGTACTGTGTGTCACGCTTTTCGCATGAAGAATAAAACGGACATAGCATAGCCATTAACTAGAGAAGTCATTGAAGAAAGAAAGGAAGAGATTAAAGCCGTAATTCACAGGAGAACAGATTCTTTCTTATTCTCTCCTACAAAGTTGCGAATATTTTTCTTCCTGTGTATATTTATGTGTGTGTGTATCCGTATATTTTAATATATACCGTGCGTTCGTACGCCCGATCGCAAATTATTAAATTAACGTGCAATGGTTAAACCTCGAGATATCAGAGAACAACGAAAAGTCGGATGCTCAACTCAGCTATATTCAAAGTTATGATTTTCGAATAGCTTGAATATTTAAATAAATTAGCAATTGCGTACGTAACGCGGATGTATGATGATATCGATGCTTATTGGCAAAAAACCGAATCTATTTAAATTCTTCTCCCGCTCCTCCTGCTCGCGTGTTTTGCCGTTCTCTCTTCGTTGGGTCGCAAAGACAATCCACGCGGAGTCCCCCGGATCGAAAACCACATCAGGAATAGCTATTGGCACTATTTTTTCCAAGTTTCGAACCGGAACCGCGTTCACGCAAATTCAAAAACTGGAATGGAGGCCAAGCGCGAATCGTCGAAACCGCGAGACTCGGTGAAAAAGAAATTCATAAAAATTATGGTAAAAAGTTTTTAAAAGGGAAAAATTGCACATTTATAATTGTACATAACTTTGTATAATTGTACACAATTGTATGTGATTATAAATAAGCAATTTTTTACATTAGAAAATTTTTCATATAAAAGCATGTACACATCTATAAAATTGTACAGAACTGTGTAGAATCCGTGTAAAATTGTATAGAAATATACAATGTAAAAATATGTATGGATATTGTATATTTCATGTGTTTATATGATTTTATATATTTACTCGTGTGCATGCGTGAAATATATATTTTTTACCGGGCTATTATATCTCGAAACGTCCCAATGGGAGCAGAGGAGGTGAGGGGGGAGAGAAAGTGGTAACGGGGTGCGCAGAGTGCAGTTTAAAGGGGCAGACATGGCAACGGGACTGACAGCTGATTGATAGCTGGACGAGCAGAACGAGCGCTCGTTCGGCGTTTATCGCTGCTTGTCACATGTCGGCTGCGCGAGATGAGATCCTTGGCAGTCACCTTGTCATGACAACGGACGCCGAGCAAGGATGTCGAGAAAGCACGGGAGCAAAAGCAACGTCGACTACAAGGCGCGGCTCGAGTACAAGCTGTACTTGGTGCGTATCCCGCGAATTGAGGTTATGGACCCGCGAGCCCGTGGAGTCAGCTCGGTAGTCAATTAGTTGGACAGTGTCAGTCCGCGTCTGGATCGCCCGCCGAATCTGCGTTAACAAACGGCGATAAGCAAACGTAACGCGTACGTGGACGGTGCGACATAACCATCTGGAGGCTAGGTTTAGGCATTTTGAGGTTAGAACGACCCTGGGAGGCGTCGACAAGGCGCTGATCGTGATAATGGACTGGTTAAGGAACGCCAGTTACGCCAGGGTCGTCTCTGCGATAAATAATAAGCCTGTGATGAAATGCGACAGATAATACGCTGGATGTTGGTAACGGGCGAGTTTTGGCGACTGTTTGGTTCATGCGCCAACACGTACCAGTGCGTACACTCATTGTCAGCGTCATGACTGCCTTTACACCTGAAGGAAGACGCTTAAAATATCCAGTAGGAAAATTCATTTTCACAAAAGGCACTTTTCTATCGGAATATATTGAACTTGGCGGCTATTTTCACCTGTAAAAGCATTCGTGACGCTCTGGTTCGCTTTGCTGCATGCACCAAACAATCGTCAAAAATCGCCTTATATGTGACATGCGTGTTTGCAATTTATTATTTATTTTGTACGACAGGCCAGGGAAAATCCGGAACCGGTGTTCGACGTGTCGGAATGTGCCTTGAAGAACGTGCCATCGGGCATCTATTCGCTTTGCAAGGTGTTCCGGAAAAAGATCTTGCTAATGTACGATAACAAGCTGAGCTCACTCTTGGGTGGAGGTGCCTTAAGCGACTTGTCCCTATTGACTGTCTTAGACATTCACGGAAACGAGTTTACCGCATTACCCTCTGACATTAAGTATCTCTCTTCCCTCAAGGTGGGTTTATCGAGTTGACCAGAGAAGTCTGTTCATTCATTTTTCCCTGTGGTTATTATAGAAGATAAAATACATAACAAGGAGAATGGGAAAAGCTACGGAATTTTCCCTGGCAAATATAAAATCTTAATGTATTATTGTGGATGGAAATATAATGTAAAGGAAGCTAATTTAACAAATGAAGAGAAATTAATTATCAGTTAAATGCTAAAACATAGAGCTACTAGAGGAGAGTCCCCGTGTATGAGATACCGAACTCATTTTTTGTAATTGCCGGAAATTTATAGGCACAATTAAAAAGTATAATAGCTTATTTTGAAGGGAATTTAATAAGCTTGTTGAATTTAATAAGATGCCGAGATGCTAAAATTTAATTCGATTATTTCTTTAAATTAGAAAAATATGAAAAATAAGCTTTACGCGAAATCGAAAAAGTGTGCTCGTAATATAAGGTACATCCGAGAAATCGCTAATAAAGTGCAAAATACAAAGGTATTGCAATTAGAAGTTTGTTAAATGTTTGTAAAATACAAATAAAAGCTTAAACATTTTTAATTTGACAATGAGCCACGGAAGTTTTTCGTTTACGCCCTCGTCTTGCACATGGTGTTACTTGGACTTGTTTTCTATTTTCATTAACAGCGAGCCGCTCGCGATAGTTAACACTCGAGAGCATATGTTATCTCGCACGAGTGTTGAATATCTCGTGTTACAAGCGGCACAGCATGCATTGCGGTTTTGCGACCACCAAATCTAATCTCTACAAATAACAAATAAACGTATCTCATATTTTCCCATTAATATAATCTTACTTTATCACTGAATGCAGAATTTATTGCCAAATATTTATTTATTACAAGGTTTAAAAAGTCACCTCGATAGAATTTAACGACATCCAATTTCTTAAGTCTTTTTTTTATAACGACTTCACGCACGATCGAACAATGAAGTTTTCACTAAATAGTTTTCACTCCAAGAGTAATACGTTTATAGTGGAAGCAACTGACGGCGCTCATCAGTTTAGCAGAAACTCCGCTATCTTATATTAGAAGCCTCATAATACGGATCTCTCCTCTATCTATGAAAAGCCAGATTATCTTCTATTTATTTTTAAAATGTGTACATGATGTACTGTTCTAAGTATACGAAGATCCCTTCATTATGTAAACGACTTTTATTAAAATCATACATCACAACTTTTATTACGTGCAGCATCAACGATATTAAAATACTGCGGTTTATTGTCTTCTTCAGGAGCTTCATTTGCAAGACAACAACATCCGCAAACTGCCCAATGAGATAACGTACTTGAATAAGTTAACAATTTTGAATGTCTCGAGGAACAATCTGAAACAGCTGCCCGACGGCATCGGGCAGTTGCAGCAACTCAGCACTCTCGACATTAGTCACAATAAATCGCTGCACAAGCTGCCCAAATCTCTAGGATACGCACAGCAACTGGCGAGTTTAAATATCGACGGATTAAATCTGTCGTATCCGTGTCAGGACATTTTAGAAGGCGGCACGATAGTGATTATCGCGTTTCTGGCGAACGAGAGCGGCATCGAGTACTCGCCGGAGAATTCGATATCGGAGACCGATATTTCAAGGGATATGAGTTCGGAAGACATGCAGACGGTATACCATAATAAGACTAACGACGTACAGGTATTATAATACAGTGCACGAACATAATAGTTGATAAGATTTTGTTAGTTATATTATTATACAGGGTGTCCCGTAGTTTTCTACTAATATTATCCTGGGGAGATAGAATGGATTGAAATGAATGGTATGGGACTTTTTGTTCGTTTCAATCCGTTCTATCTCCCCATAATATTGATAGAAAACTACGGGACACTCTGTATATACGTCGCCAAATTGATCAAAAGTATCGAAGGATTATTAAAACACTTATCGTCTTGAAAACGTGTTACATGTATGTACGTATCTTTTCGACACTGTATACGAGTTATTAAAAATATGTTATATGCTCGCTCGTGTTCTTCCTGTTTACATATTTTTGCATTAAAATATTTTATAGAAACTGATCAATTTTGCGAGTATCTACAATTCACGCACGATGGGCTTTCGACGTTTGCGCATATTCACAATTTTTTTTTCTCTTTTAGGCAGCATTACAGAAGCTAAACAAAATGAAGGCATGTTGGACGCTTCTTTGAGTTTCGTATGCTTCCCACTTGTCATCCATTTAATTTATTATTACTATATAATAATAAGTTCGAAAGGCACTCAGTACAATAACGATCCAGCATATAAAAAGTAAATAAATAAACGAATGCAAAATCTTTATCAGAAAGAAATTTGTGGCACAATTTTTTTATAATATGAATAAAATTGCATTTTAGTTTTTGGATCACTATTGCGCTCAGCGCCTCATGCATATATTCGTTAAATAATAATTCCGCAGGTAAAATGCCAAGTTTTTACTCGCATCTAGTTCTCGTTCTTCATCTTTAATTTAGTTCCATTTTACTACAACATCTCTTTTTGAATATTTTTGTGTATTTATACTTTGAATATTTATATTTTACGTAACATTTCTCCCTTTTACAATTTAATCGTCCAACTTACCTATTCCCTACAGTTTTTTTATATACAAACGCTAGAAGATCGGTTGCAAATTTACAAATCTGAATTTTAATCTATTTGATTAATACAAAAATTGATTTGTTACTAAAAAGATGAATTTGTTTGCTAGTAACAATCTAATAATTTTTTTTTCTTTTTTTTCATGTAACAGTGATGTGTATAATGAATTTTTGTTATTAGCCTATTACATAATATGTCAATGCAGTGAGAGTACAATTCACTTTCAACAGGAACATCGGCAAACTGCCTTGTTGGAAGTAGAAAAAAATATAAAGCAACAACAAGAATACGAAATGGAGGTGCAATCCGTACTCAAAGCTCACAGGAAGAAGGTAAATTGAGTGCATACAAAAACTGTAAACGGTTCTTAAATATGAAAGATTGTTGCGTTTTTAGCTTTTGGAGGATGTAGCGTTACAGCAAGTACAATTGGAGCAAGAACTTGAGAAAGTTCAACAGGAAAGGGACACGAATAGAGCGCGTTTACTCTCATATATTTACAACGGTATAACCTTTGACAAATTTCGCACAAAGTGTACAATTTGGCAAACGTAAAAGACATGAGATATAAATACATAAACTCTTTGTTTCAGCGGAGAAAGAAGCTGACAACGTGATTAAAGAATTTCTGAAAAATAGCGAGGAAGACAGACAGAGTCAGGCCGAGTTACTGGAGCGGGAGAAGCAGGAAGAGATGCAACTACTAAGTTCCTGCCACTCGGAACAGTTCATGTTACGTACGAAAGACACTCTGTGTAAGTATCGTACGTAAAAGTATGCAAAATCAAGATCGTTCACATAAATACAAAACTTATCTTGCAGTTGCAATGGAAAAACTATTGGAGGAGGAAATGTGCCGAGCGAGGAAGTGGGAAGAGCATACCAAAACCAGAGATTACAACGTACAATCCTTGCTCACACTGTCAGTAACAATTATAAAATTTCTTTTCTTTACGGCCGCGGTCCACTTGACGCTACAAATGCTTCGAAGTGTTCGGCCTCTCTTTCCTTTTACTAAAGAAAAAAGAAGAAAAAGAACGCTTCATAGCATCAAATGGATCGCAGCCTATATATTTCTTTATAAGAATCAATTATGAACATAAGAAATATTCAAACGGATACACTAAATATATTATTTCAATAATGAGTGACTGAATTTATTGTTCATCAATTTGTCGAGCAATAAACCAAATAAACCAAGAAATTATTTACAAAACCTTGCAAAAAATTTTGCACAAATTGGTGAATTAATTTGCGCAGTATAACATAAAACTTTGATTGTATATTTTATGATATTCAGTTATTAATATACAGTTTGTATTATATAACTAGTATTATGTAGCTATCATTAAAAGAAGAACAAATTTAGTAGAATAAAATGAAGATTTAAATTCAGGGAGGTGAGGAACAATGACCATTTGGCACAGATAATGCATGATCAAGAAAAAAGCAGGCAAGATCTCGTTGACAGATTACGACAGGACGAAGTGTTGCAGAAAGCGGCAGTAGCCGCGTTATTGGAACGGAGCGATGCGCGCTCTTGGAGCATTATTCAACAAATGAATCTGGTGCAGTCGCAATTGGCTGCGCTCACTAATATTGAACTCGAGAGGAGAAAGTTGGAGATTAACCAGCAACTTGTAAGTGTGTAGCTCTTATCGTTAAATAAGAGTTTTTTTTAAATATTCATTGTCGTAATTTATAATTATATAAATCGAAATACAAATCGTCAGGTTTTTAATTCTTGGATGTTAAATATTTGGAGTTGCCAACTTCTTGCAATTCTAAATTTTAAATTCTTGAAAGTATAATAAAATATAACTCTGTATATATTACTATTACCTGTACACGTGTATATAATCTATACATGTATTTTTAGAATGAGATCGCCGATAGACGCGTGACTTTAACAGCCATTCTGATCGACTTGTTGAAACAGCAAACGAATAGAAGAGAGCAACTATTGGAGACAATCAATACGATAGAGCAACAGCGATGCATCTCCGTAATTATATATCTTTTTTTCACCGTCAAGTTCTTGATATAATATCCTATTTCTTTTTTTTTTGTGAAACTAATAAATTATTATTTAACAATCTCTTTTTTATAATAAAACAAAAATAATATAGAAGTAGTAAAAATATAGGAATAATAAAGTGATTAAAAAATGTTGATAGAACTTGAGACGTGGCAGTTTGTTCTGGCTAATGCAATATCAATCTTTGATGGAAGCTCGACCGCAAGGACTGTTAGAGATGTTGGAACCTATGCTGGTTCGACATGTGGCAATAGCAGGAGCTTTGCACTGCCTTCCATTCCTGGCCACTTTACCATCTTTACTACCAGACATTAGTGACGAACAGTTAAAAAATGTACACGAGTAACTTCTTCATTGTTAAATTTTTAAAACTTTGATAAAATATTGTAATTTTAAATTTCAAGTAGTTTTACAGTTTAAAGTAAATTTGTGGTCGTTAAACTTTTGTTCCCTTTTACAATGAATAGTAAATAGATGCAAATAATTGTTGATTTTTGTAAAGATTTATGTTTGGCTCATTGAAAATAAACATATTTGTTATTTATACAATAAAATTCATAAGGCTCTGACATGAAACCACAATTCGAAGGAACGAAGGATATAAGATCCAAGACAGGATGTTGGTGTCTAAATGATTTTAACGTTTGTTATTTACGAGTATGTTATATTCCTTTTTGTTTTGCAGATTGGCATAAGTTGCGAAAGTGATCGCGCTGCCATAATGCTGGCAGTTGAGAATTATCTGGCAGAAGTTAAAATGAACGATGCCAGATCACCTACAACAGCTTCTGCACCTCTTGAGGAGGCATCAACTAGCGAACAAGACTACAGTTCTATTCAGAATGTCAACATGATCGAATGCGTAATCTGCCTCGATTTGCAAGTAAATATAATCTACATATATGTATAGAATTTCAACGAAATATTACTTCGTTACTATTACATCTCATATTTTTCTTTTTGCAGTGCGAAATAATTTTTCTACCTTGCGGACACTTTTGCTGTTGCTCCGCTTGCGCGGAGAAAGTTCCTGCGGAATGTCCAATGTGCCGGAGTTCAATAGAACGCAAAGTTCGAGTTGTACAGCCTTAAATTCACAAAACTCAATTTTACTCGGCTTATTCACAAATACTCTTTCGACTTGATGCTTCTCACGGGTCAACATTTCTTCCTGGTCTGTGATTACACGCACGTCAACAAACTATTTCCATAACAGTGGAAAGAGTAACGCCCACAAGTTATATTGACCACTGATGCTCATGAATGTCGATATACAGGAAATATATTACTATATATTGCAACTCACAAAATTGATCACATGCATTTGAGCAATTTTGTGAGCAACTAGGTTTTTTACTACGACATCTAACCGTTTTCCATCGGAAATTCTTTGATCAGTTTGATATCGACGTAGCAAGGTAATCGAAACAGCATTCCATGAACACTCACTTTAACAATCTTTTTACATGTACTCATTTATACGGTAGATGTGATAAATCAACTTTCCCAAAAATATTATTGAATTAATTAAAATTGTCACTTGCGCCGTTTTTATCTCTCTTTTAGCAGAAAATACTTAAAAAAGGAAACGAACGAATACTTTGATTAGACTAATATATCAAAAGGCATGAAGAATACTGCGTAAACCTCTGATTATTTTATGTCGTAAATCTATATTACATTTTACACTGATCTTATACAAATCATGTGTAAATATTGGAAATGGAAAACCACGAATTTTAAGTTGAGTTAAAATTTTTGTTGCATATAATTATATATACTTTATCATAATATATAAAATGTGATAGGCAATTGGCTTTAGATAGATTTTATTCAGTATTAATTGAAGATACCACCAAAGTGAAATTTAAAAAAAAGTGCGAAATGTTCAAAGAAAACCTAAAAAAACTGGATATTTCATATCCTTGATACCTATACGTCACACAAAATAAAAATATTGTAGCTAAATCAATCGCGGACATACCTTTATGAATTACAGACTATATGAGAACACACAAGCACACTTGAGAGAAAGAAAAAGAAAAAAAAACAAACTGTTAATCGCGAAAAAATCAGTGCAAGCTTTTATAAAAGCATAATTTTTACAATAAAATTTTGATAATCGTTTCTACGCAAACCAATACAATTTAAGGTTCATTTTCTTGTCTAAACGTTAGCGTTGTCACTCGATCGTGAGAAAATGAATTTTGTTTATACAAATTGATCTCCCCAATTTTTTAATAAATAATTCAATTCTCTATTTCACTTGAGGAAACTCATGTCACATCATGTTTATGACGCTATAAATGTTTTAAAATTATAAAGAGATAATGATTATTAAAAAATATGTTCTCTCTACATGTAATCTATTATTATTACAAACATGTAATTGAAATAAATAATCTTTTATTTAACTTGCTTCAAAGTGCACATTTGCTTATTACTGTTCGCACTTGAACATTTTACTTTTATCATACTTTATCATTTACATAAATTAAGACCTTAAAGAATTATTATTATTACAGATAAGTATTTACTTGAAAATAATATATATAAGGCCCGTATCTGACTACGGAGAAGATCTCAATCCATAATCTGATACGGGCTTAACGACGCTTACTTAAAAAACTACAATTTCTCTTCCCGTTTCGTCATCCTCGCCATTTACATCATCATCGTCTTTCTTCTGTTGTTTCTTCTTCGACGTTGCGTCCTTCTTCTCCTTCTGGATCTTTCTAAAGTTTTCCAGAGATTCCTGCAGCGGCAGAATAAACTGATCGAACTCGATGTCTACCATCGCTTGTATCACGTCCGGTCCACTAATGGTCTTGCGGTTGCCTTTCTTGGCTAATATATTGGCGGACGACGTGAGGTAGAGAATGAAGATAGACGCAGCTTTCGCCACCGCTGTTCTGGCGTCTTTCCCAATCGTCACTCCCTCCGGTAGAGCTTCCTTAATGATTCTGGTCACAACTGCATTGGGCAGGTTCAGATCTTCCAATCGCTCAGCCATCTAATTACCGTTCATGGTTTTTTTTCAAATTTTTGTACACGCATACGATCAGATATTGTAATTCTACGGCTCTTACAATATTACAATACACTCTTTTACTCATTACAGGAATTATTGGAATGCATGTACATTATGCTTGTTTTCTGTTCCTACACTGGTGAACTAGTGCAATAAGTTAGAGTAAGACAAGCGTATTTTTTCTCATTCTAGCTTACTGTGCTAGCTCACCAGTGCAGGAACAGAAAACAAACCTATTGATTGATTATGAAATTGTAATTAGTGTGTAGCACTTGCAACATGCGCATAATTTTCGTAAATAATCGTAAGATTTATATCAAAATTATAAGTTTTAGGTTATCGTCGGTAAGCAGTTTGTTGCCGCGTACAAGTTACGAAATAATGCAAAAATAAGGAGGAGATGACAAAGGTAACGAGGGAAATTGTTATTACCTTAATCTGAAAATGTATCGGAGCTTGTCTATCAGCACCCACGACGCATCGAGGTTAGGTCTTTCCCGCCAGCGAACTCGGGACGATAATCGCAGTTTGCACGAGAAATAAATCTGCCGCCTGGTTTCAAACGCGACAGAGATCGACAGCAAATGGAAAATGTCGTGAAAAACAACCGAAGATTTACTGGCAAATCACAACAATTACATTTTCATCGAATGCAACTAAATGTTCGAAATTCAAACAAAAACCAAGCCACGAACCACGAGAACTAAGATGGCGCAACGGTTTGGCGCTTCGGCCATAATGATGGGAGATTGCGAAGATTAGCCACGTTCAGCAGACACAACTGTTGAGTGAGCGCTTAGTATGATTGGTTAATACTTTTAGTCCCAGTCTACAATAGAGATTTAAGCCCTAAGCCTTAAGAAATTGACTAATCACAGTCGCGCATTCTACTCATACTTGACCGTGATTGGCCAATTTCTTAAAGCTTAGGGCTTAAATCATCTATTGTAGACTGGGACTTAGATCCAGCCAATCATATTGGCCGCGTTCAGCAGACACAACTGTTGAGTGAGCGCTCAATGATTTCTTAACATGATTGGCTGGATCTAAAAGTATTAACCAATCATACTCACTCAACAGTTGTGTCTGCTGAACGCGGCCATTAAAAAATCATTGAGCGCTCACTCAACAGCTGTGCTTCCTGAACGTCAATGATTTTTTAATATGATTGGCTGGATCTAAAAGTATTAGCCAATGGCTGCGTTCAGCAGACACAACTGTTGAGTGAGCGCTCAATGATTTCTTAACATGATTGGCTGGATCTGAAAGTATTAACCAATCATACTGAGCGCTCACTCAACAGTTGTGTCTGCTGAACGCGGCCATTAAGAAATCACTGAGCGCTCACTCAACAGTTGTGTCTGCTGAACGCAGCCAATCATATTGAGCGCTCACTCAACAGCTGTGCCTCCTGAACGCAGACTGACGCAGACAATGATTTCTTATTGGCTGGATCGAAAAGTATTAACCAACCATACTGAGCGCTCACTCAACAGTTGTGTCTGCTGAACGCGGCCAATGCAGATCTAAAGGAATAAGTCCCAGTCTACAATAG